GCCAAGTTCTAACTGCCAGCACTAAGCGAAAATCGTTAACTAACATTAGCAATGCAGATTTCAAAAATAATAGTTATTGTCGAGCTTGTGCTTAAAATATTTTATTACATATACTTATATTCTTCTTTTCTGCAGTCTATCAGATAAAACTATCTAGATGAAACTCTATATACATCACTCAACACTATTAAAACATATGTCATAAAAACGACCAGAATATAAAACAAAAGTCCATGGTTTCGTTGTTTTTAAGCAAATACGCCATATATAATCGTTGCAAACGTTTTTAGTAACACGTATTATATTTTATAAAAATCAGACGACAACATCGTAATATTCAAATTTTTGCCTTTAGTCATATATAATAGGCAATTTACATGAAATATAGTTTTCTTTTACGATTTAAAAAATTTTAATTTTATAAAGCACAATGAAAATACTATACATTTTTATAAATTAATAAAAGTATTAATTATTTATTTTTATTGTTTTTTTTTATTATATTGTTTTACCAATAACTGCAAGCATATTAAAACTCCGTTTTTAATATTTTTTTCAGTTTGTTATTGTGGGAGGTGGCGCATTCTTATTCCCCACTCACTCAATTCTTGCTTAATTATACAGTGGGTAAGTCTAAACAGCAGTTTGTTCTGGGGGCAAATGCAATTATAAGATTTTTCCCACGAATTGTGAATTTCCATTAAGCCATTGGCTTTGAAACGTCAAGTGCTTGGCCACGAGAATCAGAATACGTCACGTATTCTATTCAGCACCAAAAAATACTCTCCACCTGAAGAGTACTTCCCAATATAAATATTTATTCTGCAGTTCATTTTGGTTTTGCAGCGTTCGGCAAGCAATTATTATTTACAAATTAATATTAATTTTTGTTGATGCTTCCTTATTAGTTTTAAAAAGTATTTGCAATTTTTGGCATTGCTTACACTAGTTTTCAAAATTAAGTCCACGATATACTCCAGAGATGAGCCTTACATTTTTTGATTCAGCTAGACTCAATGTTTCAATAATTTTTTGAAAAGGAAAAATACAATTTTTGCCCATTTCCTAGCCTAATTATTTTGTATTGCGAGTTATGGTAAATCGATTTCGGTCATTCGGGACTCAATGCGATAAAATAAACAATAAGGGGCTTAAAAAAGCTCAGAACGTGTATTTATTTACTCATCGTTTTTACATTGTTAAGAGTTGTTTTTGTTTGATATGACCTAAGACCAGGAATTGCAAATAAGACCAGGGATTGCAAGTAATAGAAATAAGTTTTAAAATATTTGAACCCTAAAAAATAAGTTGTTTTATAAACGAAAATATGCAAGTCGTATTTCTTTTGCTTTACTTATATTTCTGAATTTATATTTTAAAAATAAGCATTAGAGTTAATTTTCAATTTGTTAATTTAAAACTGACAAAAAACTATTGTTTCCCACTTTAAAAATAAGTGTTAAAAATAAAAATTGAATTTAAATATCCTTTGAACGGCTTGGTTTATTTTATCTAGGCTAAATATCTTTCTGTTTATATATTTGTGTCTGTAAATTTCTTATTTCCTGTGCCAAAAGGTATATTCGCGCGCAGATATATAGCTATGCAATTAAATATACATATTACCTGTGTAAGTGCTGTTTTTAAATTGACTATGTAGATCTGGCATATATATTTCATGTTTTGGTACACAGCCCTATAACTGGTTAGATATTTACAATATGATCAAGTAAATTAGTTTAATATTTATATAAGTACATACAAAATAAACAAAACACTCCGTTAAGTAGGCCACATATTTTGTAACCGGATCACTAAAAAATTAGGAGCCTTGCCTTTTTATACCCGTTACTCGTAGAGTAAAAGGGTATATTGTATTCGTGCAAAAGTATGTAACAGCTAGAAGGAAGCGTTTCCGACCCTATAAAGTATATATATTCTTGATCAGGGTCACTAGCCGAGTCGATATAGCCATGTCCGTCTGTCCGTCTGTCTGTCCGTCTGTCTGTCCGTCTGTCTGTCCGTCTGTCTGTCCGTCCGTATGAACGCTGAGATCTCGGAAACTATAAAAGCTAGAAGATTGGCATTTTGCATGCAGATTCTAGGAGTTCCTACGCAGCGCAAGTTTGTTTCAAAAAGGTGCCACGCCCCCTTTAACGCCCACAATCGCTAATATACGATTTTAAAAATTTAAATATTTCGGAAAAGTAAAAATTCAGTTTTATTGTGTTTATCAATACCTATCGAAATGTAGAAGAAATTTTTCAAATCGGACCATTCGTTAAAAAGTTATGCGTGATCAAAGTTTCTATCTCCATCTCCCTCGCACTCCCTTTACCTGAGTAACGGGTATCTGATAGTCGGGGCACCCGACTATAGCGTTCTCTCTTGTTTCTCATAAAAATAAGTAATTTTTATTAATTTAATTATTTATTAGTTACAATTTTTCGACTGGGCTTAGAAAACGCTTAGCTAAAAATTTAAAAGTAGTTAAAAATTAAGAAAATAATTAAACTTTAACTAGATAAGTTTATATACCTTTTCAAAAATAAAATATTTAGTCGCCTGATTTTTACAAAATTAAAATATTAAAAACCAAATGTTCCCTTAAAACTGCATTAAATATAATTCAAAAATAAACAAACGGATTGCACACAAATCACAATCATTCCAACGCTTTCGAGGTTCAAATAAAAAAAGTCTGATAAAGTTTGGGGGAGTGGCAGTTCAAATATTGATAAATGATACGATTTAGCTGGAGGAGTGAACTTTTTGAGTGGCCACATATGCGATTTGATTTATGAACGCACAGGCAAAGAGTTGAGGTTCATTAAGACCTATTTGACAAATGGGATAGATGTCTAATTTGCATGGAGTTTGCGAAACGTTCCAGCACAAATCGAAGCATCTAGACCACATCCATTTGAATCCATCCGAGCTAGCCACTTAGTAATTACAATGCCGAAGTGACCCAGAAACCCGGTAGCGTTGCAATAGAAGCTTTCCAAAAAAAATCCCAAAGAGCCGGAAAATGATAGATATAGGGGAAACAGCAAGGAGGGTGAAAATGCTGTTTAAACGGATATCCTAAATGTCTGCCCGGATGGGCGAAGCTCCGCAATTTTGGCCTGACAGTCATTTCCGTTTGGAAGTTTTTCATTGCTTCCCATGGAGATTTAACGGGCAAATGGTGTGGTGCGGGACGGATGAGAACCTGTTGCTTGGAGACAGATTTATGCCATCGTAAAATATGCCATTTGAATCTGGAAATCTAATTTTAATGTCGCAAGGGCTGTGGCAAAAGGGTGCCTCATGTGGAATGAGGGCATGCTCTGTTTGATTTGGTTTGGCACTTACGGATGGAGGTGCTAGATAGTTGCCAGTGGTAAAAAATATTGTAAAATATATTTTCTTAGATAATTTTTAACATTAGTTATTAAATGGTCAGATCAATCGATGTCCCATAGCCAATATACAAAATATAAATTTCCTTGTAAATAGTATCTTAAATTTTTGAATAAATGATAATGTTTTTTTAATTAAATTATAATCAACTATTTTTTTTCTATCAATATTTCACCATTCTCTGTTGGTGTGTCACACAGCAAAAACATCACTAGCCGAGGAATCCGTTCCACAATCCCACCACCCACAAATCCTGGGTGGAATCTCCCACACACACACACACACAAACAACCGAGTCGGCCATTAGTATGAGTGTTCGGCCATTTTCTCTTCTAGCGGAAGTTGTCTGTGTTAATGGAATTACATGAATTCCAACTCTGAACCGCAAAGTAAAAGCGAGAATACACTGGCAGGCGACATTTCCGCAAATGCATGGCCCATAAACTTTGACGGAGCGGAGTGAAAGTTTTTCCACGAAACAAAAGAGCGACTGAGAGGTCTAAAAAAAGAAGAAAAACATAGAGCGGAAATGATAATGGCTTGAACCGTCGACGGAATCGCTCTTCTATAACGTAATCCACTTTTGGATTTCCGCTGGTAAAACAAAATGTATCGAATATTCGCGATGTTTTTTCAATCAGTTTTATTGTAATGAGCTTACGCTAAAAACCGACTTTCGGCCATCGGGTTTTAAGCCAACATTTAAAAGCGTTTTATTTGATGTACAAAGAATTGTTCCTTAAATATCGATTCTTATATAACTGTGGCCGGCAGAACACGACATTTTGCACTTGGAAAGTGGGAGAAGGCGACTTACTATATATGATGAAATAGTAGTATGTTCACGCAAAAATCTGCTGTAAGTCAACACATTGAAAAATGTGTTTTTTAAATGGTAATCAGCCTATCTTAAGCTAGTTTGTTCAAATACAATAATTTGAAAAGTGTAAAGCCTACCCAAAAGTAAGTGAGTTACTTCATAACATCAAAAGGAAATAGTGTTCGTTTTTTAAGTAAAAAAATTTATTTGAATTTTTATCGGACTTTAAACAAACAGTTTCCCTAAAAATAAGCCACTGAAGCAGAAAGACGTATTAGACGAATAGTATCATGTTAAAGAATAAATATATTATTTTGATTAGAAATGTATTTTTCTCTGCTCTAGAAACATCTGCCTAACAATAAAATATATATATTCAAGGGTACGAGCAAAAATTTGTTGTTTCTGGTACCTTAGAATTATTTTTATGCAACAAAAACGTTCAAATCGGTATACGCAAGCTGCATTTTGTTTTAGTTTTAATTTTTTTTATCAAAATCAGAATAATTTGAGAATTTTATAAAAATTAACAGATTTGCTTGTTGCAACAAAGAAAACTGCAAAGCAAACTTCTGAATAAAATAAGATTGCCCCCTGCAAGGAAATTCAAATGCTTAACAATTAGGGTTTCATTATTTTAGTACCCAACACTTCCTCTTTTACACAACACAATTTTGATATTCCAACAAGGTGGCAATACCCAGTCGGGCCAAAAAAGGGGACTGCTCAAATGTTTTCCTTTTAGTAGTTCTGTTGATAATTATCAATTATAATTAGCTTTCTTATTTTATCTGAAGATTTCTTTTTCCCTTTATTGTGAAGTCCTGTTTAGAATGGGTGAGAATTAAGTTTATTCTTGAAGTCCATATTCTGATTAAACACTTATATTTCAAACAAAATATATCCCTTTAGATAATAAAGAAAACCATATCCATTCGCATCAGTCGGATCACATTCCTCTTGTTATTCCCAACAACTCGGTGGTCACGACTTATGCCATTGGGCGCCTCAACTCGGAACCCATTCCGGCAAAGATTGAGATAAAGGAGCTGATAGGCAGTGGGGCCTTTGGAAGGGTGTACAAGGCACGATTGGATGACTCCGAGGAGGTGGTGGCCCTCAAGCAGACCCTTCACAATCCCAAGTTCTGCCAGCGCGAGGCGGAGATAATGGGCCAGCTGATGGACCATAGCAACATCATTCGGCTTATCATGCACTCCCGCGTGACCTTAGGCCATCCTCCGAAGAGTTACATCATCCTGATTATGGAGTACATGCCGATGACACTGCTGGACTACATAAATCATCACCGAAAGCAACTTCTGCCCCCGGATGTTCTCACCTATGTCCGCATTCTTTCGTATCAGATCTTCAGGGGACTGGGGTATCTGCACTCCCTGGGCATCTGCCACAGGGACATCAAGCCGGAGAACCTGCTGGTGGACAACCAGAAGATGTTGCTCAAGCTAAGTGACTTCGGCAGCGCCAAGCACCTGGTTCCCCAGGAGCCCAGCCTAAGTTACATTTGCTCCAGGCTGTACCGTGCTCCCGAACTCTTTGCCAAATATGTTCTTTACGGCTGCTCCGTGGACATCTGGAGTGCTGGCTGCGTCCTGGCAGAGCTGCTCAAAGGATCTCCCTTGTTTATGAGCAACAAACACGATCGGCAGCAGCTAATGTTCATGGTAAGCCTGCTGGGCAGCGAGGGCTTGGACCGGGCCCCTGAGATCCGTTCCATGTGTGGAGATGCCATCCCCTCCAGGACAAGCCGTCCCAGCTGGGATCAGCTCCTGAATCTGGATGTGCCGCAAGACCTGTCCGATCTGCTAAACTCCTGTTTCGTCTACGAGTCCTCAGCCAGGATCCCGCCCATGATGGCTTGTGGGCACTGCTCCTACGATGAACTGCGCATCATGGATGCCTTGGGACTGGACATGCCGAATGGCCGTCCGTTGCCACCCCTGTTCAATTTCAGCAGCCAGGAGTTGGGCATGGATCCCAAGCTCTGGGTGATGCTGTTGCCACTCCACTTCCCTTAGATGGAAGACGAGCTGCCAGTATCCGTAAGGAAAATTAAGTTTTTTAAAAATATAAAGCTAGTCAGCAAATGATTAAAGAAATTAAAACATTTAAGGAGAAACTATTTTAATGTCCCTAGTTACAGTACTTTTTTAAGCTGGACTAAAAACAAGACAAGTTATTCTACTAAGGCGGCATTTTGATTGTTTTAATCCTATAGTAGCATGCATTGATTTAGTTTTTTAAATAGTCATTTATAGATTTCTGCACTTCAAATTTCAAAAAATACTGAAATCAACTTTGGAAGTTCAGGGTTGCTATCATACCTTCCTCTTATTAATCAATTCCTGATTACCCTAAAAAAATGTCTATTTAAGTTTTTATTTATATTTATTATATATACTGTATTATAGCAGAGTGGCCAGTTCCGAAGTCAGTTTCAAACTAAATCGACATTCCGATGGTAGAAACTTCTATTTTCAAATATAGTTTAAGGAACATTTGTTTAACTCAAGCCGCAGTCTGTATTAAAACAATAAATGAATGAAATTAAAAAAATGTATTATTTTCTTCATTTCATTGAGTCCATTAATTCCATAATTAACTGGAAACATCTAACTAAGCCGAGAAAGTAAAATTCTCTGCAAGTGGAAAATTCATGTCAATTAGGACTCTTTTTTTCTGTTACGCAACCAAAGAACATAGTAGCCCTTGAAAGAAGGACAAGAAGTCGAACTCGACCTCCGAAAAAATAGCTTAGTCTTACGGCAGCTCTCGCACAGAAAGCCCAAAAGCCTGAAAGGTGTTGAGTAAAACAATCGCAGGAAAATTAGATAGGTTTCGTACGATTTTGTCGAGTCATGGAGTTGCCATCTATGGTGGAGCGTTCTGGGGATCGCCTGGTGGTGCGCAGCCTGGTGAATGGTGAGCCGCTGTATCACACTGCTCTGAAAAGTGGAGAGGAGTTGCCATTGGCCCATGGTTTGCAGCCCCTGGTGGGTGCGGTTATTGCGGAGCAACAACTGGAGCAATATAGGATGGGCAGCTTGATGTTTCCGCTATCGGTGCCTGGTTATGTTCCCGTGGGACCTGCATCCCCATCCAACTTGGACAAGGAAAGCACGGAGAGCTCCCTGCCAGAGGGCAATCCCTCCAACAACGAGGAGGAGCTGCCCCAGTGCAAGATTCGGCGTAACTACAGCTGCAACCAGTGTGCCTTCTTCACCCAGAATCCTCGTAGTCATTTGTCCCATCTGCGCGATGTCCACGGCGAGCGGATTGTGATTAACGAGTGCAAATTGTGCCTCTATGCCTCGCGCCACTTCCAGAAGCTGGTGCGGCACATGAAAATGGTGCACGGCTGCTCCGATGATGGCGGCGGAGTCCCAGGATCCGGAAGCCAGCTGCGGGGCAAGCGGAATCTCTCCAGGGAGGTGCGCAAGCGCAAGCTGGAGGAGAGCATTGAAATGCAGGCACCGAGTGGGCCAAATCTGCACCCCAGCTTGCTGCGGATGCTGCAGAATGGACCCCCACTGGAGCAGCTCAAGGCCGAGCTGCAGCAGCAAGAACAGCAGCTTTTGGCCAGTGTCCAGGCCTACAGTCGGCAGCAGGAGATGCAGCAGCTCCAGCAGATCGTCGACGGCCACGACAACATCTTCTCCATGGCCTTTGAGTTTCAGACCAAGTTGATGCCGCCCAAGCAGTCGGAGTCTTTGAAACTTGACCAGAACAATAGCAGCTCTGATTCCGAGGAGCCCATGAAGAGTCCCTCGCCGGACACTTTCGAACTTCCTCCGGGTGCGGAGCAGTTCCAGTGCCAGAAGTGCTCGTATAGCACTCCCATCCGGGCCCGTTTCAAGAAGCACGTCAAGTACCATTCCATGCCACTGATAAAGTGCGGCTCGTGTGATTTTCACACACCCTACAAATGGAACCTGGACAGGCACACCAAAAATCATGGTGCCCATGGGCATTTCAAGTGCTCCGCTTGTGACTTCAGCACCGATATTAAGCAATCGCTGACTATACACGAGTTGAACCATCATGTGCCCACTGTGGGCATCCAGATGCTTAACAGGCGCCGAGATGACTCCGAGGTTCAGCTAGATCAGCACCCGAGTGGGTCCAAGAGAATGGAACTTGAGAGAGTGGTTCATCCTACTGCAGCACCGGACTCTCCGCTTTCGGAGTTCCCAGGGATTGTGTGCTCCCACTGCCAAAAGCGGGTTGGCAATGCCATCGAGTTGATCAATCATCTTCAAGTGTGTGCTCCGGCTTTGCGGAACACCACTCAACATCTGCAGGCTGCTCTGACAGGGGACGTGGATCTGCAGGATGAGGACTTGCCAAGTGCTCCCACTGATCTCAGCTATTGCGGTGTGGAAACGGCTCCTGGCTACGGAGAGGTAAATTTATAATAGTTACAAGACATTTTATTGAGGAAGTATACTAAGCCTATATTTTTATTCAGGTCACTGAGCAGTTCTTGCCCGAGGAATCCGATGATTCGACGCCATTGAAGAAGGTTTTCAAGTGCCCCCATTGCACCTTTTGGGCAGCCACTGCATCGCGTTTTCACGTTCACATTGTTGGTCATCTGAACAGAAAGCCTTTTGAATGCTCCTTATGTGCCTACCGCTCCAACTGGCGCTGGGACATCACCAAGCACATCCGCTTAAAGGCTATCCGGGATAGGTCCCATAATCAGGCGCAGGTGCTGATGAACGATGAGACTGGAAGGCGCAACTACGCCAAGTACAATCGGTATTTGACTTTGATGAAGGTGAGTGCGGATCAGTTGGCCGATTCCAAGGGGATGCGCACGGGGGAAATGACCGTGATGCCACCGGAGAAGCTGGTTGAGCATCACCCCATGGAGACGGAGGATTGCATGGCGGCAAGTCTGGTGCCTATTGAAATGGTGGACAGTGCTCCTCCGAACTCGGCTCTAGACTTAAGAAAGCCCAAAGATGATATGTCGGTGGGTGGTAGCAGGATGAACACTGCAAGTAACAGCGATTCCGGCTTGAAAAAGCCACGACCACAGGGAGCCGAAGGAACGCATTGGCTTACGGACTTAGAATCATTATCATTTAATGCGATGAATTCATCTAATGGCAAGCCAATGTCCAAGGTTGGCCTGGTCAAAGACTCGCCTTTGGACTTGACCAAGCCAGTAACTATATCTGAAGATGGGGAGCAATCAGACGAACTGTCATCCAGTGACGACTCCCAGGAGTCTACAGAAAGCGATTAGGTTGAACCATTGAAATGGGAATTCATTTTATATTACAATCGAAAATTTCAATAAATTCTTTCAACCGTTTATTGCACTTTTATTTTTACCATATTAGCAGGCTATTCGAATTTGTAATCTGTAATTTAAAAAATAAAAAAAAAATGTTGAATTACGTGGGTAAGTCTGACCCAAGAGGAATATATCGCTCCTACAGTGAAATAATTGTGTACTTGTTTATTGTTAGGTAGGGGTTATGGGCAAAAGTCCAGCTAAATAAAAAGATAACAATAAATACTTATATAGTTAATAGTGTAGGCATACAGTTAATTTAGCGTGGCTAATGTATTAATGACACTCCTATTGAAGATCAGATCAGCTAAGCTTTAGTCTCGGATAATAACGTATACTACAAATTTAGATCACGCGCTTTTCACAGCAAACATTCCTGTATGAAAAATAATACTATGCATATCAAGACGAAGAGCGGCACCAGGAAGCAGACTTCATCTACGCCAAAAGTGCCTAGGATCAGCCACAGATCGAGGCAGAGGAAACGCGCCTGCAGGAGCCACAACCACAGGCACTAAGCCGTCTGGCATTGCACGCCCTCAAAGTGTGGCGACTGTCCGTCCTCGTCTTCCTGATGACGGGGCTGCGGCTTGTAGTCTGCCATATGTACTTCCTCGGCGTCCTTGGGAATCACTACCTGCTGCCTGGGAGGCAGTAGATCCTCCAGCATTGCCAGCTGCGGAGCCGTGGCAAAATCGTTGTCGGGAAACTTAACCTTAAACTTTAAGTAGAGATCTCCGCTGTCAGTGGCTTTGTTAAAAACAGGCATACCGCCGCCCCGCACCATCTTGATGTGGTTGTGCTGCAGTACTTCGCCCGGATGAGTTCGGAGGCAGACGTTGCGTCCATCCAAGTGCTTAAAGCAATGTGTGTAGCCGCACAACGCCTCCGTTATGTTTATCTCAAGATCCCGCATGTACAGATTGGCATGGCGGCGCTGAAAAAGCGGATGATCCTGCTGAGCGATGACTACAATTAGGTCTCCAAACTCGCCGCCCCGCATCTGGTTGCCCTCATTGGCGAAGGGTACTTTCAGCATGTGTGGTGCTCCACGCTCCACGACCAGGTCCCGCTTCATCTTCTGTTCCACGAAACCGCTGCCCTGGCAAGGACTGCACTTTTTATCCTCCTTGATCGTGAATCCCCTGCCATCGCAAGCCGGGCAGGTCTGAAACAATGTAGTTACCAATTAAAGTGTATCATAAAAGATAAATAATATAATAATTTTGTAGTTTTCTCTATCTCTATCTTTAATGGAATGGCTTTCTAAAAATAAACCTTTTTTTTCATTTTTATTTTTTTGGTTTTCCTATCGGACCGATTTTAATTTAATTCTGTAATTCTTTAGTATTTTAATATTACCAAATCCCAAAGAACAAAAAAAAACTAATAACAACAAAATCATACTTTTTTTTATTGGGAGCTATATGATATAGTCGGCTGATCAGGCTCGTTTGGACTTATGTACATACTACCTGCAATAAAAAGACAACTTTTGGGAACGTTTATAGCATATAGTTTTAAAAATGAGAGTCTAGTTTGCGTAGGAAGGGACACAACATTATTTCAGACAAGATATTTCCGAGGCCGATCTGTAATTGAACTATTAGAACTATAATCTTTTAAATGGGACGACCAAAAGGTAAGAAAAACACCCTCAGGCGTGGTCTACATTATTTTGAATGGTACTTTCGACATATCTCGGATTGAATTTAATATTTTATGATCACTTAACATAAATTCCTACCCAACAAAACGATTTTAATATTCTCTTTCCACCCTTAACGGATTAGTCCCGATAAACTTCAGCTTATTTCGGCTATTACAAATCAAGAGAATGGTGTCCTAGACTGCGGGGGAATACTTTGAGTACCAGCGGGAGACTTCCATTACTTAAATTATTGCATCCGAAAGACTTGGGAAGCAAGCCCCCAAAAAGTTGTATAATTTGTTTTATTAATTTCTGAACCCATTAAATCCATTTGTAAATTTAGAGTTACTGCATTTAATTTAAAAGAATTACACTATTCCAGCTGAATTCAGAAAAATTTATTATCAATTGTCGGTGTAATTATTTCGACAGCAACTACACATGTGTTTATATATCCGACCTGCGTTAGGACCGGAAATGTCTGCGTTAATAATAAAATGCTCTGTAATGAATAAGACAATGTACGCTACTAAAATAAATCAATTTACTTGTGCAAAACAAAAAAATACTAACAAAAATGGAAGTATGAACCGTATACATAATCATGGGTTAACTAGAAGAACTAAAGTGTAATAATATCTTACGTTATGATCCATCTAATACTGCTGATATGAATGTTTACGAATTTATCAAGTACCACAAGATTTTCAGGACTTCTACATACCGCATCGAATGCGCTGAGACCCAAGGTAAAAGCGGCCGCCCTACCCGCTCCGCCACAGGTCTCGCAGCTCTCGCGCGCTTCTTTAGGGCCGCCGTCACCATTGCACTTGGGGCACAGCTTCTGGCGCTTGTACTCCAGCTTCTTCTTCATGCCGCCGACGTAGATCTCCTCCAGCGTCAGCTCCACCTTGACCACGACCTTGCCCTCGCGCCTGCCACCTCCCCCGGGCGACACTCGATCAAAGGGAAACCACTGGGCAAAGAACTCGGAGGCATCCGTGAATCCTTCGGCACCCTCCTGAAGGCCCTTCAATCCGTAACGGTCGTAGATGCGCCGCTTCTCGGGATCAGACAGAACCTCATAGGCGAAGGATATCTCCTTAAACTTGTCACCCGCATTGGGATTCTTGTCTGGATGGAACTCCTTAGCTAATTTCCTGTAGTTCTATAAAATCATTAATTGAGCTGATCACAAGTTACTTTCCAAACAAATCGTACTGAGCCAGTTACATACCTTCTTTATTTCCTCGTCGCTTGCATCCGGAGCCACTCCGAGCACTTCATATAAGTTTAAGTTGTCCATTTCCTAATGTAGCCTAGCCCTCTACAAACTAAAATAGTTATACATTGTAAGTGTACAAATATTTATTTATTTAACAATGTATCTATGACACTATTTTCAAGTCATTTTGGTTAGTGAGTGTGACCAAGTTCTGCCACAGGTTTTTAAATATAGAGAACATACCAAAAGAAAAAACGAAAATTCCATCTATTTTAGGAACAGTAGAGATTTGAGTTAAAAGATTGTTTTAAAAAATGAAATAGTAAAGTATATATAAAATATATATATTTTCTGGTCTTATTTTTCCATTTTGCATTCATTTATGGCGACAAACTATCAAATAACGACCTTTATATAAAATATAACAAATGTAAACTGGTGCCTAAAATGATTTTAAAACAACCCTTTTTTCTATTTTAAGAACTCACCGGTATTGGAGCGATTGGATTGAACTGTAATTCAAAAACATTTAGGTGACTATATTTTATATTACATATTTAAGATTATGGAAATTTCTTTTAAATTTAAAGACTTTTCCGAACTAATTACTAAATGAATTACCCAAAATTTATTACAAGTTCCTAAGCCATTTTATCAGTGCACAAATTCGACATGATCTTTCTATGGGTAGTACTCACTGTATCACCACGAAACTTACGCCTGAAAATACCGAAAATACCAGTAATATACCACAATGAGTCACGCTCGCGGTATTTTCCATTCTCAAACGCGTTAGTACTTTCCGCGTGGCATGTTAGGGTCCCACCCGAGATACTTCCACCAGCGCACATACACACACAGGCGCAAGCTACGTGTGCCATCTTGCTTTTTCATCGGAAAATTTTCCAGAAATTACGCTTGAAAATTACGAAAAAATCGCTACTAAATGGAGTGAATTTTTTTTTTAAATTCAAATTTAGTGCAAATACGTGAAATAAAGTCAAGTTTGGTGAAAAATTCACCGCCAAACGACCGCTGGAGAATTTTTTCAATCAAACCAAATGGGTGCGAAGCTGACGACGTAAAAATTTTTGTGTGTACCAACGAAAGAGCGGAGAAAACGGACGGGCGAGAGCGCAAAGCGGAGAGACCGAGGAAACACTCGCGCAGGAAGAAGAAGCAGCAGCGACAGTTTTCTCTCTGAGTCTGTGTGTTTGCGTGTGCGCGCGCTTGTGTTGAGGAAAATGATGGAAAACTACGAGGAAATTCGGATGGGCCACATTAAGGCCAAGGATCTAGATCTGGGCGACCAGGTGCCTGACGATTCCCAGTTCTATCCACCGGCCAAATTTGATTTTGGCGCCGAAATTCTGGCCACAACGTCGACCGAGGCAAAGGCAGCAACAACGGCAACCAGAGAACTGATTGGCAAAGCAAATGGTGAAATCAAAACAAAAACATTGGATGCCAGGGAAGAACAAGAAATTGGCGCCAATTTGGAGCAAGACATCAAATCTCCCTTAAAGCCGTTGGGAGAGGATGAAGAAGAGGAAGAGGAGGATGAAGAGGACGACGAGGAAGACGAGGAGGAGGTCACCGGAAACGAGGATTCCAGCTCAGATTGCTCCTCCTCCGTGGGTCCCGACTGGAAGTTGCGCTGGCTGCAACGGGAGTTCTACACGGGCCGTGTGCCCCGCCAGGTGATTGCCAGCATCATGCCCCACTTCGCCACCGGACTGGCTGCAGACACCGATGACTCTGTGCTGTGGGACTACCTGGCCCACCTGTTGAACGAACCCAAGCGACGTAACAAGCTGGCATCTGTAAACACCTTCGATGATGTCATCAGCTTGGTCAAGAAATCGAAAAAGATCATTGTGCTGACAGGAGCCGGAGTATCCGTATCCTGCGGCATCCCGGATTTCCGCTCCACCAATGGCATATATGCTCGGTTGGCTCATGACTTTCCCGATCTACCCGATCCACAGGCCATGTTCGATATTAACTATTTCAAACGTGACCCGCGACCATTCTACAAGTTCGCCCGCGAGATATATCCCGGCGAGTTCCAGCCCTCGCCTTGCCATCGGTTTATTAAGATGCTGGAGACTAAGGGAAAGCTGTTACGCAACTATACGCAGAACATCGATACCCTGGAGCGGGTGGCGGGGATCCAACGAGTGATCGAGTGCCACGGCTCCTTTTCGACAGCCTCTTGTACCAAGTGCCGGTTCAAATGCAACGCTGACGCCCTGCGCGCGGACATCTTTGCCCAGCGGATTCCGGTCTGTCCACAGTGCCAGCCCAATAAGGAGCAAAGTGTGGACGCCTCGGTGGCCGTCACCGAGGAGGAGCTGCGTCAGCTGGTGGAGAACGGCATAATGAAGCCGGACATAGTGTTCTTCGGAGAGGGTAGGTGTCGTTTATACATCTGCTTATTTAATATTACAACTCATCAAACTCTAATAAAAAGAAGAGCTATTAAGCCAACGATCAGAAAGAGTGTTTACTTTAGAACTAAATCCTTTTTTTTTTAATATTTTAAACGAGCTAAATTGTAACAGTCTAATTTGGGTATCTCTTTATTTGCTATTGCCAACAGGTCTGCCAGATGAATATCACACGGTCATGGCCACGGACAAGGACGTGTGCGATCTGCTGATCGTAATTGGCTCCTCACTAAAGGTGCGACCCGTGGCCCACATTCCCAGTAGCATCCCGGCCACTGTGCCGCAGATCCTCATCAACCGTGAGCAGTTGCATCACTTGAAGTTCGACGTGGAGCTGCTGGGCGACTCCGATGTGATCATCAACCAGATTTGCCACAGGCTGTCTGGAAACGACGACTGCTGGCGGCAGCTGTGCTGCGATGAGTCAGTGCTCAGTGAGAGCAAGGAGCTGATGCCCCCAGAGCACCATACCCATCATCATGTCAGCCATCACCTTCACCACCACCGCCACTGCAGTTCGGAGAGCGAACGGCAATCGCAACTAGACACGGATACACAGTCGCTCAAATCCAATGGCTCAGCAGACTACATTCTGGGATCAGCTGGCACCTGCTCCGATAGTGGATTTGAATCCTCAACTTTTACTAGTGGAAAACGTTCCACTGCTGCCGAAGCGGCAGCCATAGAACGCATAAAAACAGACATACTGGTGGAGCTGAATGAGACCACCGCCCTTAGCTGCGATCGTTTGGCTGCCGGAGCGCCGCCAACAACAGTTGAAAGCTATCGTCATCTTTCCATCGACTCCTCCAAGGACAGCGGCATCGAGCAGTGCGACAACGAAGCCACCCCCAGCTATGTGCGTCCTAGTAATCTGGTTCAGGAGACCAAGACAGTGGCGCCCAGTTTGACCCCCATTCCTCAACAGCGGGGAAAGCGGCAAACAACGGCAGAGCGCCTTCAGCCTGGAACATTCTACTCCCACACCAACAACTACTCGTATGTGTTTCCTGGAGCTCAGGTTTTCTGGAATAACGATTACAGCGACGACGACGACGAGGAAGAAGATAAAGGCCACAATAGGCACGGTGATCTTTTCGGTAACGTAGATGAAGATGAGGATGAGGATGCCTGTGATCTGAATGCCGTTCCATTGTCACCTTTGCTTCCGCCCTCGCTGGAGGCCCACATTGTCACCGAGATAGTTAATGGTGCCGACGAACCTGTGTCAAACAGCAGTCCCTGTCAGAAGCGACCCGCCTGCATCATTGAACAGCAGCCAGCAGCCATCCTACCACCCTCAGTTGAGACAGAAACACCGCCTTTTAAGAAGCGGCGACCTAGCGAAGAACATGGGCAGCAAACGCAAATAGAAATATCGGAGGAGAGTCCGCCTCCAGGACAATTAGCAGTTGTGTAAACGTAATTTTAGCTGCTTATATTGTAGTATTTATTTTTAAAGCGATTTAAACCAACTTGTAAACACGACAAAAACAATGTCCACAGAAACTCCGAAATCGATGAAAAGGGCCATGTTACCAATTTTATTTCCAAAAAACTGAAATCGGAATTGATACAATTTTTAATACTTGTGTTAAAAGTTGCATCTTTTTGATTCCGGTTTTACAGAAATTTTTAAGAAATGAACCAGGAGATAGGACTAGTTTATTCAATTCGAGGCTTTAGACATCTGACCCTCGTTGCTTTACACCCACCCCTAACGTCCCCATCCCGTTTTGATATTTTTGCAAAAGCTCTTAGTTTATTTATTATCTCTCTTCAAAACGAAATGCTGTAAATGTTAGTATTTTATTATATTAAGTTGTTATTGAGGCCTTTTTAGATAAACGAGAAGAGGAAAACGGAAAGTTGAAAAATCCTCTGGAAAGCAGGGTTTTTTGCATTCAAAGAGTACCAGCGCCTCAACTTTAAATCTAGGATTAAGCATAAAATAATCGTAACTATGAAACTACACCCAGAAAACACAACACTTAGATTTATTTAAGAACTAGACACAAACACTCTGTATATAAGCACTCGCCCTTTATTTGTATTGTACATGGTCCCTTTTCTACTTGTTTGTGTTATCCCTTTCTTTTTATATTTTTATTGGTTATGGCAACTATTTTCCAACATAAATACACATACACTTGCACCCACATCAGATTTGATCAGCATATATATGTGGTCATACAGAAATGAATACAAGTTTGACATTTGGTGTGCGTGCTTGAAATGTTTAATCAAAAATTAGCATAAATATTTAGCCACCAAACGCAGTGTAAACATAGCAGTAAGAATTTAGTCTATATGTCATAAAAGTGTATTAATCCAAAATATAAAACAATCTACAAAACTTTAAAAATAGCACTGAGTTTTTTTCTGATTTTTTGTTAGCATTTCAAATAGTCTTTTACCTGTTTAATCCAACAAAAGGTTATCGTTTATGCAGATCAAGTGTGAAAACTATTCCGTTTCGATGACTATATCCTAAGTGTGTAACAGGATCGATCGGACCTAATTGCCTAGTTTTTAAAGATTTTTATTATATCGCCCTCTTTTATATTATTTTGAGTTGATCAATGCAGCTACAATATAAATGCTTAAAACTTTAAAAGGTCAAATTCACAAAAAAAGATTTCGGGCTCGTTAAATTTACTTAATATTTCGTTTTGTTAAATAAAATTTCCCGTACTTTGCATTTTTTGTTGTTAATGCTATGCTATTTTGGACCAACGGAATAATTTGCGGTTTATTAAATTCAGATCCTTGAGTATAAACTGCTTTTAAAATCTTTAAAAAGCTACTAATTCTTTGCCAAAGATATGGATCCGCGAGACAATTGAAACCAACAATCCTTGCAAGTTAAATGTTGCAAAATAGCGTTTATAGACAGTAGGTTTAAGAAAAAACAATTATGTATAATTATAATTTATATATTATAATTTAATTAAAAATACTTTTTAAATCTTAATTTTTAATTAGAATTACTTTTGTAATATGTAATGAAATATATTTTTTGTTGCTTTCATTTTGGCTTAAAAGCTTTGGAAGCCAAAAAAAATATTTTTTAAGAGCAATGCTTTTTACAATCTAATAAAAACTTTTGCAGTGGCAGTACCTTTTTCAATGCCAATTATTCAGTGCTAATTAAGTATTTTGTTATCGGCATTACTTTTGGAAAATCTCATGTTTTTATTTTTCACTATCACTAGATTTTGACAATCTAATGAAATATTTGAGAGTAAAAGAGGTATATTGTATTCCTTGGAAAGTATGTAACAAGTAGAAGGGAAAGTTTCCGAACGTCGATATCTCGGACACTAAGGAGCTAGAGATTTGAGATTTGGTATACAAATTCTGGGCAGCTCAAGTTTATTTCAAAATGTTACCACAAATCGAAAAATTCTTTAGATGACACGTATTGGGCGGCATATGTCGCACCATTACTTTAGAAGTTATAGGACTTATAAAGTATTAATAATGAGTCACTGGATATTTGAAAAACGGAACTCACATATTTGAGAAAGGGGATGCTGCTCGGTACCCAGGCAGATGGCGCCACCTAACATTTTCGAAATGCGCCAAAGGCTGGGGGCATATTTATTTTGAAATTGGCTAGCTGAGTCGCGGGTATCTTATAGTCGATGCTATCGACTATTGCCGTTTGATGTTAGTTTGTCAAACATTTTTTTATTTGTGTTAGTTTTTTTCCGTGTATACCCAAAACCTTAGACAAAAATACATTTTATTTCAATACTTGCAATTTTGAATTCTGTTTTATTTATTATTTTGACATTAGCTGGTATCTTAATGTTATCTAAATACATATTCTATTATTAAGGTTGCCTTCTTCAAAAATATGCCTTATACCATTGATGCTCCCTGCAGAGACGTGTGATTTCGGAAAGAAATAAAGCGAAGAAGAGTGGAGCTTATGGACTAGGAGCGACTTTTAATCGTTCCGCTTAAGACTGAACGATGTATGCTAGACATGTTGTCTAATTTCCTGGGATGCTTTCTTGCGCTTGGTTCTATATAAAATATGACATTCGTGGGGCCTATGGTCGGCGACGGAACTTATGTACAATTAACAATCCTATGCTATACAATCCCCATATATATCTAGATAAATACATGTGTTGTATGCATCGATTTTACCTCCTACTTTTATAAAAATATGCGTGATTTAAAAAAATGTAATTGTCCCCAATTCAATGATCTCTATACAATTGTTGATAGAACTCTGACTGATATAACATGAGCGTATGGCTACGGTCTACGGTTTACGATATAATCGGTATAAAATAACGCGCAGTGAGACTTGAGTTAGTTATACAATTGTATCATGGATAGTTGATCCATTCTAGGCAACGTTTGTGTTTCGATTTTCAGTGCTAACAAAATACTTTAATATGTATATATATTCGTTATATATATTCTACATGCATAAGCACTAGTATACACGTATAAATGTGTGTTTTTATCGGTGATAATTTTCGTTTAGCTCTGCAACAATTTAAATCCGCGCACTATAAAAACGGCGATTTGTTGGTCTTGTGGGATCTGGACCTGCCCGGATTAACCTTGCACTTAAGCTGGGCAATGAGGTCGGAGATTTTTAGAGCCGGGCCCACCTTCATGCCTAGCAGTGGCATTATGTCGTCCTTAGTCAACTGCAGCAGTCGCTTCCCATCGATCTTACTCCGGCTGAAGGTGTCACAGTGAGCTGTGCAATCGTTGACCCGCAAGAACTGGGACACGTCGTACACGTTCCACGAATCTGGTACCAACTCCAAGTGAGCCTCACTCGAATCGATGTCAGCCAGACGTGGAATGTACTTATTATTCGTCGCAGAGGAGTTCTACGGTTGGACCATTATAAATGTAATTAGTAAAATTGTTATAAGAGGGAATAAGTTACAGGTTAAGGATGATTGATGGGACAGTGGGAGGTGGTTGGGTTTTGGTTGTTGCAAGTACCAAAAATAACAGTGCGTAAAACTAAATTATATACAAATTGACTTTTTTATGAACGATTTCGGTTATATACTTTTATGCAATAGTGTAGCGGAGCGATGGCACAGTGATTAAGGTAGGCAATTTAGTTACTATCAAAATATTTCTAAATATGCCTAACAAAATTTAAATCAAAACTAAAAAGCTTTAAAAGTCACCTTAAAACTTCTTTAAAAACAAATATAAGTTTCTGACTGACTTTTATATTTGACGCTTAATTTATAGTCTCTAATAAAAACTCTTTTCTGTTAAATGAATTTTATATTTTAATTTAAAAAAATTCTTAAAACAATAGTTATTTGAGATTTTTAATTAGAAATGTTTTTTTATTTCTAATTAAAAATCTTATTATAACAGTGATAGCTGATTCTATCTGTGATTAATAAATTTAATTATTTCGCAATAAGTTTATATATGTATATACATATAGTATACAAAATTTACAAAAAATTATATTTTCTTTTTATTTCGTTTTTTTTTATTTTATCACCACTGTGCCGTTTTGTTGTAGATGCATGAGCTAGACTTCGGGCGGGCAAGTTGGCGAGCAAGCAGGCTGTCTGGCTAGATGGCTCTAGGTGGATGATTCTACGCACTATTATTCCGCTAAGTACTCACCGCAATGTAGCTAGTGGCTTTGCGGCCCACAGTTGGTGGCGCAGGAGATTTAGTAGTGGAAGATTTCATTACCATTTTGTTGCTGCCCGGGGCGAGAGTTACCAGCGAAGCGGAACCACTTCCATTCCCAGATCCTGCGATTTGATCACTAGAGGACTGCGTGGTTGACTGCTCGGAGATGTGGCTGGTGCTTCCGTCGCCATCGCCGTCTGCATCAGGATCCTCCTCATCGCCATCTTCCTCTGGCTGATTGTTCTCGTAAAAGGCAGCATTGTGATGCTCCGGTTTCAGTTCCAGCTTAATGCTCAGCTTGGGCAAGTGAGGCGTGGTCTTTAGCGCAATTGTACGGGATTTGACTGGCATGAACATTAGAGATTATTAGTCTTAACGAATGTATACTATGCTTCCAATTGTGAGCTGAATACCTTTACAAATGTTAAGTCAATTATTTATATAATACCATCTCACCTGACTGAGTGTTATCGCTGGGCGTCTTACCGCCGACTGCTCCTTTCTTGGGCTTTCGCTTTCGCTGTATTTTGGCCTTCGGTGCAGGCTTTGGAGCTTGCTGCTGTGCAACCCTCGGCGGTCCTTCCAGCTTGTGACTCACCAATACACACCAACCAACTGGATAAATATCCGCCGATTCGCAATCCAGCCACTGGTCGTACTCGTCCGTCCATCCGTCGAAGTGAACTTTAAGTAGTCGACCCACAACTCGCGCCACCGTGGCGACGCAGACGAGCCGGGGATCCATGAGATCTGCACACTCTAGACTCATGCCCATCACAAAACCGTGATCAGGGATCACGCGATGAAACAGATGCTGATTTGCGGCTACTGCTCCTGTGTCTCGCAAGTAACCTTCCCAGGTAAATGTATGGGAGTCGTAGCCATTTGGAGGGGTCACTGAAATGCTGTTGGATGAGCAGAATCCAGCTGGGAAGATACACGGACTCTTTTCATGGTAGCAGAACCTAAAAAAATAGCATGATTCTTAGTTGCTTTCGTTTGCTTTAATAAAAGCTTTAACAGCTCACCAATCCGACCCTGAGGCATCCGGCTGATAGGAATCAATGCGTATCATCATGTATCCAAATTTAAGAACCGCCATTACGGTCGCTGGGCAAATAGATGAGAGATTGAGAGGATCCACTGCCTCCAGCTTCATGCCCTCCACAAAACTGTTGGTTTTGCCGTCACTGTAGTACTCGTCAAAGGTGAAGTTCATCTTGAACAACTCGATTGTGGCGTCGTCTTCATGAACCTCTATCATGGCTTCACGACCAGCTAAAAATAAAGAAGCAACAAATGTAAATCTCATTTCATAAAAAAAAGATTATAATCAATATGTGTATTGATTTTATGATTGTCTTTACGAATAACAAAGAATTGTTTTTGTTTAGTACACAAGTACTTAAAAAAGAGAGTATTGTATTAGTATAAATCTAAAGCGGGATAAATTACATTATTTTTAGGTTACTCACCCAACATGCGTTCCAAATAGTCCTGCGGGGCAGCCAGATTATGTCCTACTGTGGTTGCCCAGCCCACTGGGTGGATGATAGGCGAATCCTCGTGGCACCAGAAGCCGTCGTCGGAATCGAAGTAGCGCAGGAAGAGGCGCTTACCCACGATCTTGGTGACGGTTGCCAGGCGCACCTGCGAAATGCGATCCTTGTCAACGCACTCGAGATTCAGGCCAAGGCGGAAGCGCGACTGCAGGCTGTCGTTAATTTTGTTGTAAAAGTTGGAGGGAAGGGTGCGGGCTCCGGATAAGCGGCCGACCAGGAAGTCCTTCCAGTCCTTGTACTTGTGCTCGATGGTGCGGGGCGGGATGAGGGGCTTTCCCCGGGTAGCGCACCACCCCACCGAGTGCACCTCGGCGTTGCAGAGGTTCACCCAGAAGTCGTGCGAATCCGTATCGAATCCCTCGTAGCTCATCAAGGCCTTATAGCCCTTGATCTCCAGGATGGTGGCCACCCAGAACGAGGTAGGTGTCTGTCCCGGCTGGATTACCTCAATGCTATCGCAATCAGTGTTCTCAACCTCCACCTTCATGCCCACGCCTAGGTTGTCCCATACCTCGCATCCAGGCGCATGTGGAAAACAGGTCACAGGCGCCGCATTGAAGTTCTCCTTGCCAAGGCGGGGCAACCAATCGTAGGAGTGTGTGGGATCGTACATCCGTCGCCGTATGCTAATGATTTTCTCCATTTGCGGACACGGTGCCGGAAGGCGTTCGTACTTGGGTATTTGCGGTAGGTCATCCTGTGGGTAGACATCCTTAAAAAGGCGAAGGGCCTTGGGCGTCGGAGCTGCACTTAGGTAAGAGTTGGGTGTGGCTGCTCCTTCCTCGGCACCTCCAGGGGCAGCAGCATCCCCAACTGCTCCGCCGTTTAATGCGGCAATTGTTTCGTCCGCTGCCATTTGTACATTGTTGGCAGCTGCATCACCACCTAAGGACATGGGTTCGCCAAAACTATTTAACTGGGTAATCTTCGATTGATCCGTAATACGGAAGCGGTAATTGGCATTTTTAATGTGCGCAGCCTGCAGATCAAGCTCAATATCCGACTGGGACTGCAGCTGTTCGCCGGCCAAGACCTCTTCGGCGGCATCAGAACTCGCTCCGGGAACTGGGGAACTGGTGCTTGCCTGGCCTCCCTCCATCTTGCTATTGAGTACCAACGAATACAGTTCACCTCGGGCACAGGCCATGCTGCAAAAACGTCTTGATTTCGTGTAGAAGGTGTGCTTCACTCCAATTGCTCCACAACGCTTACAGACAGCTACGGAGAAAAAAAAACAAGTTCAAACATTATTTAAATTAATTTCCTACACAGTTGCACTTGTTATTTGCGACACAAACCCAAATTCTTGCAACACAAACTCAAACCGAAAACTAAAACTAATTAAACTTATGAGTAAATTATACATAAAAATCTTGTAAATGAATTTGGTGTAAAATGAGTCGATTGTTCTAATAAAGAATAGCAGGGACGGATATATAAACATTTAAGTTCTACTCTATTTTAACATTTTAATAATTTTGTATTTTTCTGCAATTATTTGGGAACTAAATTTTGTAGCGAAGTAATGCTTAAATGCTGATGGTTTCAAATTAAAAAAATGAACAGATCACCGTTTACCTTTTCCTTTACTGAAATACTTATTTAACAAGAAATATATACCCGTTTGTATTCTATAAAAGTACTATATAATGTCTATCAACTAGATATTTCGAATAATATGCATTTATGTTTAAAGACATTGAAGTTATTTGAATTTTTCCTGCCCATTTCGACTTATGGTAAAGAAGTGCAAATCATGTTCACCTTTTAAAGCAACATTTCAACATTTCAACTGCGTTAATGCTTTAAAATAACCAAAAATTCAGCCCCTACTTGGTCCTGTATATTTTTAGGTGCTTAAAACAAAACTGTTTGCCTTAGCTTGAACAATACTTTCCGCCCCCACACACACAATGGTATACAAAATCGACCCACTCTGTTGTAGAGCAACCTTACCCATGCCGTCTTTCTGTATGGGGATCACCGATGGGTCAATGTTGCCCTTGTAGGCGATGGGTGTTTTCAGCACCAGTCCCGGCCTGTTCACGGGTTCGATCTTGCGCGTCTTGCGTTGGGAACGCAACGAGGAGGAAGTGGAGGCGCTGCAGCTGGCGGTGGTTGCGGTGGAGTTTGCTCCTTTGGCCAGGCTATATGTTTGCTGCATTTGCTTGCTGGAGCTGACACAGGGTGCTTCAGAGCTCACCATAATGTTGCCAAAGGCATTTCCATTGAGCGTGGCCATCGCTGGGGCCAAAGTGGTGCCCAGCAGTTTGTGGTGCAGCAGGCCGTCGGCCAGTGGGACCAGCAGATCGTGCTCGACTCCAGCGACACCCAAGCCTCCGGGCAACTGTGTCATGCAGGAGGAGGATGACTGCGAAATATCCTTGTCTGAAGAGGTCATGAAGTCGGTGCCATCGTACGAATTGTTGTCCTCGTTCATCATCACAAAATCGTCGATGTTGATGATCTCCTGCTTGGGCTCTAGCCCTGATCCGCCATCGTCGTAGCCATCGTCCATCTGGCCATACACCTGCTCGTCGTCGTCCACAACCGCCTCGCCCACACCCACGCCCATCAGTGCTCCGTCGTGCGCAGCCATGCCCACCATACCGGTATCCACATCGCCATCCATAACCTCGGCATAGTTCTGGAAGACCGCTGCTGCCGCCGACTGCTGAAGCAGTTGCTGCTGCAGGCCGCCCATGTGTGCGAATCCGTACAGGTTGTTCGAGTTGGTGGCAATCAAGGTGCCCGGCTGAACACCCAGCGCCGCAGCCGCCGCCGCGGCCTGGCCAGTGAAATCCCCCCCCATCAGGCTCATCATCGAATTCATTTCCTTTTGTTGAGCAGGGTGGGTTTGGAGATTGGAGGTTGGTTGAGGTTCGATCATTGGTTTTGTGTGTTTTTTGTGTCGAGTTTTAAATTGTAACCAATACATAAATCATAGAAAAGAAAGTAGAAGAAATAAGTAAACGAATTCCAATTTTTAACTGAGACAGACAAAAAGATAGTTTGGAAATATGGCCAATCCCAAAAGAGTACAGGTTTAAACTTAAGGAATTTGGGTTTGCTTGCGAGTCCGATGACTATCAAATATAATGTGCTGACTTCTCTTTATCGATGATCATTTAATAACAAATTATATTTATTAGTCTTCGTATTGAGAGATTGGCTTTGGAATTAAAGCGTCTGCACTCACCAAAGTTGGCTGATGTGAGGAGAGATCCTCCATGACAGAGAGTCCAACAGTTGGATGACCCAGAAGAGTAGCCGCATCCTCTAATGTAATTCGCTCCGAGTTGTACTGACTACTCATCCACATCATGCGAAGCTCGGCTGGATTCATTTTGAGCGGATGATGCTGTCGATTTTGAACTTATCAGTATGCGAAAATCATTTAAAAGACTGTTTCTTGGATTTTCTTGATAAAATATTGCTCTTTATTCCTTGATGTTTGATTCGCATTGAAACAATCGCTGAAATAAAGTAATTAGAAAATCACAAGTTTAGTTTTTAATTTATTTTGGCTAATTGTTTTTATTTCTGGAAACCTTTAACAAATACACTAAAATCTCAAGGTTTCGTTAGTTTATTTATAATTATTTATAGTTACACTAAATAGACGTAAAGCAATAATTTTTATTTTTAATTTATATGGATAATTTTATTATTAAAAGTTAAATATAAACAATGTGAGAATTAGAATTAAAAAATTTTAAAATAAAATAAGGGCGCAAGCAATGTTGAGGTAAGAACACAAATATATATGCCGATTTTAAACATTGTTTTTGGACCGTTTTTAAGACCTTGAGTCTAGACTAATCTTGTTGTATTTCACATAGGTATGTAATGAATGGGTTGTGACCAACAACTAGGTATTCTTGGCATACAAATAAGTACTAGACTCGAATTTGTAGGATTCTTAAAGCAATAAAGAATGGGAATTTGAAATATGTTCAAAGGTATTTAAATGTTTCCTGTTTAATATTTAGGAAAATGTCTAGGCAAAGTGTCGGCCAATTTGGCAGTATTTCCTGACCGATTACCAGTGTTCCTCGTTGTCCGTTTTGATTGCCTCCTCCGCTCTTTTTTTTTGACTTATTTGCACGCAGCTGCTGCGCAGAGGAAAGGCCAAGGAAATGTGATTAAAGACTTCCGCCGAGTGCAACACTTCGGGGCTGTTTTGCGGCAACCGCCATGTGAAGTTTAACTCATTTGCACAATAAACAATGCTCGAATATGTCCGATTTGTTAAAATACTGGTGACATTTTCAGTGCGAAGCCCATTACTCGCCCGAAAAGTCAATGAAGCGTTTGCGCAGACAGCGAACGCCAACACAAAAGAAAACGCACGATGTGGCTGCCCATGGATGCAAACTTACACTTTTTACACGTTTAACGCTTCAGGCTTTAGTATTAGGTGCTACTAGCACTTGTTGTGGTCCATTTTTTTGTTTTTTCAATTGGTTTACCGAGGTTTTCCACTGTTTTTTTTGAGTTAACTTCTTTTGCATTTGCGCCGAGCAGGGATGGCAATTAAGATCCAGGGCTGCACAGCAGACCATCGCGTTTTGGCATTCTTTTGCCCGCTAAATTTCCAGGGCTGCGAGCCCGCGCACGTTCAGCAGGCAGTAACGAAAAGTGATCGCAGATTCCTTGTTAGTGAATAAATATTTTCTAAGATCGGATTCTATAATCATAAATCTTTTTCAACCAAATCTTTTTCAAGTTATGTTAATAAGTAAATATTTGCTTGATAAAATTTGGGTTTAAGATTGTTTGCTTTGGTTTTTTTGATTGCCATTTTTTGTGTTATTACATTTTTAGTGGATATATATGCCATACAAATGTTAAGTGCCAAATAAAAAAACCAAAACAAAAAATTTCAAACCCCAATTTCATCAAGATATGCGAAAGACTTAAAAACTAGCATACAATGATTTGTTTGTATATATCGATAACAGTGCGTAATGCCAACTCGGCCCAATTACTTCTCCGCTCATTTTTAAATGATAAAAGGCAAACATTTTCTGCACCTTTCTCCTACAATATGGACTTCACGTAAATAAAATATGTTTTCAGCTAAAATATTTTTTGGTAAAATTCGTATTTTATAAGATAATGACAGAAATCCTAAAAACAAACATATTTGGCTGGTTTCTTCTAGAAATCCTTCTTGCCACCAACTTCGACTTATTCGTAGATCTGAACACTCCAAGACCCACGATCCTCTTCCTGTGTCTCTGGAAGCTACATAAATCAATCGCATCTTAAAATTCGAACTTTATTTTTGGAGTGACCTCGCTGCTTTAAAAATCACTAATCGGATTGCTGAAGGCGCCCCCTTGACTGTGCACTTCCGCCGATTACCAACACTGTTTAACTTGTTTGTTGTCGAAAATGAGTAGAAAATAATAGATTAGTAAATCAATAGCCAAAAATAATGCCAGAAAATGCGTCCAGTTCTGTGCCCACAGAGGCCGGCTTTCGGAGCATGCACTGCCAATTGGGGGGCAGCACCTTTGGCCAGCGCCGCGAGGACATCTTTCGTCGCCTCCAGGAAAGTGCGCATCAGATCTCGCAAACCTACAGTGGAAGCGAGCTTGCCACGGACCGCGATGAGTCGGTCCAGGAACTGTGCGATTCTCTCGAGGAGCTGCTGTCTTACGGATTGAGGCAATCAAGCAGTGCCACCTCGTTTAGTGCCGCCGGTTTCATCCAGAACATGCAAGAGATTGTGTCCGGAAATGCGGGCGGAACCAGCAACAACAATGAAGCCACTTTCTGGGAGTTTTGCCAGACGAACTTGACGCCCCACGAACGCCAGCGGTACTTGGACCTCAAGCAGATCTGGACCAATGTGGGCAGAGGACGTGCCTTCATTCGTTCCACGCTGAATGAGAGGCGACTACATAGCCATGTACTTACTTGGCTGAGCGACGAGAACAAACTACATCGCTTCTACACACCCTGGTCGTTGCTGTTAAACGATGAGGCGGCCAAGAAGTTGCCAGAGATCATCGACTCCCTCAGGGATGTTTTGTTCGCCCTCAATGTGGACACTACGGAACTGAATGCGCCCAGGAGATCGGCGCCAACTGTTCCCGTCAGAGAGGAACCTATTATATATGCCCCCGAACCAGTGCCTGTGACGGCGCGCCAAAAAAAACAACCTGGCAAAGCCGTGGAGAGACCCATTGAGGGCGCCAGCTCCACAGAGGATTTACTGGCTGTCCTGAAACCCTTAAATTCAATGAACGTGCAGCAACTGGTCTCCGAGGGAATTGTCGAACAGGTGTTGGACAAGCCAGTGGATGAAGGCAGTGTGGGTCCCTTCGATCCCATTGGACCTGAGCTGGAGTTCCTTAAGACGCCCTTGCCCGAGATTTATCCACCAGCTCCTGCAGACCCAGATATGTTTGAAGACCGCAGTGATACGTCTTCGCAATGGAGCAAGTCCTCCTCATCTGCGAATTGCGTGTCCAACAACCAGCAACAGGCAGCGCTAGAGGAGCAGGTTAATCAACTAAGCGAAAGATGCGCTCTCCTTGAAACTCGCGTGGCGGAGCTGAATCTGCAGAACCGCCTGCTCATCCGAAGGCTTACCAAACAGTTTGAGGAGACAGGCATAGACCCCAGCTCATCACTTTGCTCCAACTTCCTGATAACCATTCCGCAAGTAAAACTGACCAAGACGCAAAGATCCAGTTCCCACTACACCTACGAGGTTCATATCACGATGAGACAGCGTTTGGAGCACTGGACGTTTTTTAGACGGTACAGCGAGTTTAACAAGCTGCACAAAACACTGCTGAAGACCCATCCGGTGGTCAGTGCCGTGGAGTTTCCACCCAAGAAGCATTTCGGCAACATGAACCTGGTCTTCGTGGAGGAACGGCGACAACAATTGCAGATATATCTACTCAATCTTGTTGAGACCCTGCCGCAAGTGGAGGCCTGCAAGTCCAAAGCGGAGCTTCAAAAGGTTTTTCCCTTTTTTAGGGATAGGTAGCCACCTTTGAGAAATATCAGCCAACTAAACCCAACCAAGGAAGCTCGAAAAGAACAAGTATTTTTCCTCATCTTCATTATATTTATAGATCTTTACTTATATGTGTAAAATCGGAGTTGGTCAAAGTGCTGTAATGATTGATATTAAATAAAGCTAAGTCTTTTTCATCTACGGGTGTGTTTAAATGTCGGTCACTATTTATTTTATTGACCACAGTACGCAATTGTACTGTATTATTTTCCGACTGAAATAATGAAATATTAAAAAAAGTATAGCTCGCAAAATATTAATAAAAATGTCGGTCAGTATCAACTGATATTTTTTAAAACAGAGAGTTGACAAAGAAGCTTGGCATTTTTTAAAAGATGGTTGTGCTGGGAAAATATAATTTTGCGCGCATCTGTTAAATTTAAATCAGCTGTGTTAACATTATGTTTAACATTCGGTATATTTAAGCGGCCAAAGCACGGTCTCACCACACGTCGAACAGCTGTGTTTGTTGTTATCAGCTCGGTTTCTAATTGCGTGTACTTTCGTCGCCGTAATTGTTTTCTGCAAAATGATCGAGTGATCCGCGAGGTATCCACGGATTCCGAATTTTCTGTCTGTCTCAACACACCTGGGACGCGTGACGTGGTCGCATTTTCGGAGAACGAGGCACCGTGCCTGCTAATTAAATTAGTGCAGTGGGGAGGCGCCACTTCAAGGTCGACCATGTCGGGGGTAGCCATAGCCATAAATGCGGCCATTTCGGTCGCCGCCTACTGTATGACGGTGCGGATGATTCCCCGCTTCCGGGAGATGTTCATCAAGGCCAATCTCTTTGGCAACGATCTGTGCAAGAAGGACAAGCCACAGGTGTAAGTTGCCTTTTGTGGGTCAATGCATTTTCTAATTCGCTTCATCCCTAACTGCAGTCCCGAATCCTTTGGCGTGCTTATTGGCTGTGTGTTCCTGGTCTCCCTGTTTCTGTTCATACCCATTCCCTTCGCCTTCGATGAGGCGGCTGCCACGGATGCGGTTACTGGTGGGAAACCCGATACCTTTCCACACGATAAGGTATATAGAAAGTGAAAAGTGTCCGAATCACCAACCTTATCGCCCGTTATCGCCTTCACAGTTCGTGGAATTGATTGCCGCACTTCTGTCGATTTGCTGCATGATCTTCCTGGGCTTTGCCGACGACGTATTGGATCTGCGCTGGCGCCACAAGCTGCTCCTTCCGACCATCGCCACGTTGCCCCTGCTGATGGTGTACTATGTGAACTATAACTCTACCACGGTCATCATGCCAAACTTTGCGAGAAATCTGTTTGGAACCTCTTTGAACATAGGTATATCACGAATTTATGAGAACTTAAATTTATAGAAATGGGTACAGCGTTTGTTATATGAACTGATTCGTAATTAAAAGAATCTTTCGTAAATTTTAAGTACTGATTCGTAATCTTGAGATTTTTACGTTTTTACGAACGGACGGATAGAAAGACATGACTTCGGCTAATTATCCTAATCAATAATAAATATTCCTTTTTAGAGACTGAAACGTATAATTATTTGAACTTATTAATTTATATTTATTTTCTTTAAGGTATCCTATACTACGTGTTTATGGGCATGTTAGCGGTATTCTGTACCAATGCCATCAACATCCTGGCTGGGATTAACGGCTTGGAAGTGGGACAATCAATAATAATTTCGAGCTCCATTTTGCTGTTCAATGCCATTGAATTGTTTCTGGGTCATCAGGTGGATTCGCATATATTCTCCATTTATTTCATGCTGCCATTCCTGGCTACCACTTTAGCGCTTTGGAAATTCAACAAGTAAGTCTGCCTTTTGTTTATCTAATTGATTTTTATTTTTTAAGTACTGAATGATTCTGGCAAGTTAATAAATGTTGTTATATGTAAAAATAATTATGATACTAGAATAGTAAACTAATAAGACTAATAACGCTTAGAATTGCGACCAAATTTAAACTCGTATAAATTAGTTTGTCCTTTGATAATTTGTATTATTATTTAAAGTATGTCTTGAAAGCTTTCTCATACAGATCATGTGTGTTTTTCTTAATATATCTTAAAAATAATGTTAAATTTTGTTTAACCAAATTTCACAACTTATTTGCAGCACATTTGAGATCACTCTCAGTTGCTCATTTCGGTTCCCTTTCTTAAATTCATTGTTTAGGTGTGGCTTTCTTATCACAGATGGCGGGTCTGTCTGTCCTGTCTGCTGAGATACTAAATTTTGAATTCGTTTGGCCAAAAACACAGAAGGGCATGTGCATGTGTGGATTAGGCAGATTAAGATATGATGAAAGCAGGCACATTTAAATATATAAATATACGTAGATCTATGCCCAAGTCAGACTGTGGCAGGTGTAATTACTCTTCCTCCTGTAGATCCTCTAGGTCGTCCGCATCGTACAGATTGACTAACAGCTCGCCATACTTGCTGCTATGCATTAGTGCCTCCTCCGGAGCGAAATACTTTTCGCTCTGCTCTCGCAACCGGAGCAACTGGGTGGTGCCATCGATGTGACCTCCATTGGCTATCAACAGCTGCATATAGGTGGCATCGATGTGCGCATTTCGGGTGTCGTTGGGTAGCTTCACAGGTAACTTTTGCTTGCTCGAGCTCTGCAGCAGGAGCACAATCTGTTCGGGGGGCAGACACAACTCGCAGTTCCATCCGCCATAGTGGTTGAGGTCGCCCAACGTGCTGCTCGCCAGCCGCTGCGGTCGTTGGGCGTCCAGTTGGGCACTGTGCAGGTGCCCCAAGGAACTGATTACCCCATTCAGCAGGGTCTTTTTCGGGTGCTGCCAGTAGAATCCGTACACGTTGTATTTCAAACGGAATTTCAGTGGAAGAACATCCTTGGCATAGTACTTGAGAAACTTGAGAGCCGCAGGCGCATAGACAGTTCCACTGTCCCCGTGGAGCAGTAGGTCCTGAGCTTGCATTTGCACGCCGCACTGCTGCCACAGCTGGCGCCGGAAGTGACTGTAGGCCTTGGAGCTGCTGCAGTCGCTCTCGGAAGAGCAGCGGAGCAGCGCGTAGTTGCTTCGGCTGTCCAGCATGTTCTCCAGACTCCGCTCCTTGCTGCCGTTGCTCACATAGTATATGAGGAAGTAGTCCACCACCTCTAAGAGGGCTCGGATTTGCAACTCCAAGAGCTCTAGACTCAGGTGGTCCCAGGCCCCCAATTCTAGCATGTAGAACAGGCGGTGCAGCGAAGTGGAACTGGCCTCGCTTAGTTGCAAGGGTGTGCTGCCGCTTCGTTTACTGGCCCGACTGGAGGTCATTAGTGTTCGCCATATGATCTCAGGTTGGCCGCAATCCCTTCCGTGCCAGCCGCTTTCACATTTGCACTGCGGCGGAGACATCAAGTAGTCCACATCATTGAGTCGCAGGCTCTCGTTTATGGTGCCCTCGCGATAACACCAAAGAGCGGGGGTCAGGCCCATCTCGGCGTCCACATAGGCGGGCACGTTGTAGTCTGGCAAGTGGGATTCGTTCACCTGGTTCGGCTTCATTTGGTAAAAGTCCCTGTCGTAGCGATTGACATTTTCCTGCGGCCGAGCGCAGCGGATTCCACTTTCCAAGGGGGATTTCCTTGCACCGTCGCTGGCTATGAAGTTCACTCGGCCGCCAATCTGGTCCAGGGCACTCCGCTGCTGCGACTCCTGGTTGCGGCCCATCTGCAGCAGCCAAATGCAGCCAATGAAGCCCACCTGCAACACCAGCACCGTCCAGAGCACCAGCTTTTTGGTTATGGCCAGGCGTCCCATGCCGGCTCCTGATGTCAGGAAGTGGGTTGTCTGGAGTGTGCTCCTCACCATGGTTGTTGGCTCACTTGCTACAGTCTTTCGTGCTCATTTTTGTCCAGTTTCTTTTACCTTTCTCGCTTTCCTTTGACTCGCTAACACGCCCAAAATTTTTTAAGGTACATCCCCTACAGCTGTTGCAAAACCCCTCTCTTGTCACTCTCAGCTGTTTGCCGCTACAGCGGGAATCCGGCTGTTTTCAGCCAAATCTAGCTGGAATTATAACATGGGCCCGGACTTGGGGTGGCCTACAACACTGGTACTTACACAGAAATAATTTTTGTTGCTCTAATTTATTAAGTTTTACAGAAAATTTTGGTTACGTTTTGTAATGTAGTAACTAAACTGTTGAACTCCCAAACAAGTATTACCTTTTCGCTAAATACTTTTTTCGGTCTTGAAAACTGTTTTTTTAAAAGTTTTTTGGCCAGTGTGTTTGCCGATCGCTGATTTATGTATATATTCGATCAACATCATCAACACATAATAAATGTTTAAAATCAAACCGTTATTTCAGAAGCTCTTATAAAATAATTTAACATGTATTCCTTTCCGGCAGATGGCGCCGAAGTTTTTTGTTTGCGCCCGCCAATATAATTGCAAATATTTATAATTCGGTTAACAGTGAAACGGTTTTTTAATAGTTTTATGTGCATATATAACTTGTGAAAATATGTGCCATTGGAATTTGACTATTAGTCAAATTGTAGGCAAATGGAAAACACTTAAATAAAGTCCTCTAAATCGGTAAAATGTTAAAAATTCAATGAAAAGTTTTCAGAATTACGGGGAACTACTCAAATTATTTTCTTTTGATCTGTCAACCCGCTGACCCGCCTAGCTGATACGATTTAGCAATGTTTTTATGAATGTCCAAAGTATAGTTATGTCACGATCGGTTGACTTTTCAGAAACTTTTTAAAAATGTTATTTTACCAGGTAATTTATGCGCTAATAAGAACAATAATTTTATCAAGTCGAAGTCGAGAAAAACATTGCAAAAGGAGAACCAGAACCGTTCGGTATTATACACAAGATGGACAAATCTTTTAATGGGCAAATCTTATTTTTCAGATATCCATCGCAGGTTTTTGTTGGAGACACATACTGCTACTTTGCGGGCATGACTTTCGCCGTGGTCGGCATCCTGGGACATTTCAGCAAGACCCTGCTCCTTTTCTTTCTGCCCCAGATCCTGAACTTCCTGTACTCCACGCCGCAGCTGTTCCACTTCGTGCCCTGTCCCCGCCACCGACTGCCCAAATACGACAGCAAGACGGACCTGCTGCACATCAGCACTACGGAGTTCCGCTTGGAGGAACTGAACACTCCGGGGCGTCTGATGGTCACAGTATTGCAAAAACTGCGACTGATTAGCTGGCATACCAAAGCTGACGGAGTCGTCAGGACCAACAACTTTACCCTCATTAACTTTGTGCTGGTCATCTTTGGACCAGTCCACGAGCGAGTGGTTACGCAGATGCTGATGGGATGCCAGGTGCTGTGCACACTGATTGCTCTGACCATTCGTTACCCCCTGGCCAACTTCTTCTACGCAAAAACGTAACCCTTAATTAGATTCTCCTTTAATTCTGAAATCGATTGTAGTAAGCCATTGCTAAGTTAACTTTACAAACAGAATACATTTATTTAATGCCTACACAAAATATTTCCCAAAGTAAGTCATATTTTCTCGGCAATAAAAAACCAAGCGTATTAAATCAAAATCACCATGACCACTGAAATGTCGGAGGAAGATCTGTCGGCGCCCGAAGAAGAAGAGGACTTGGGACCCAACATTGGCGTAAGTTGACTCTGGTTTCAAAAATTATGTGTATAGTCAAAATTGTAGGACCATTATTTGGTATAGAAATATCAATGTCAAGAAATGCTACCAGCCTATTCTTATACCTGAAACAAAATTTATTTTTAACCAAGTAAAGAAAACAGATATCAGCCGAGCCGATCTAACCATGTTTGTCGTTTCGCCTCTCGTTCTTAAAGCTATCTGGATGAAACTTTTTAGAAAGGTTTCTTTTTATTACAGGTGTTTCAGACAATGTACGCATATATCTCGAAAAACCCGTCGTAAAAGACTTGGCAAGCAGAAGTTTATATGTATATACATGCATATTATATATTTCTCAAGTTATATGCGTATATGTTTAGAAAGAATGAAGTTAACACATTTTTATGATTTAGCCGATTAATTTTTATGATTTAGCTGATTAATTTTTATAAAATTAATATTGATGATTTAGGTATTTTATTGGTCCGAATAATTTATGTTGGATAAGCTTCATTGTATATCATATAGTAGTACTAGCTAGTGATCAACCTAATTTATTCTTCAAAACTTCAGAGAAAAAGTATAGTATTAGGCTAAGCTACATAAATTCAAATATATTTTCCCCATATTCCAGCTCTATATAGGCGGTCGCAATGCGGCCGGGCAGAGACACGGCAGAGGTTGGGCCATCCTGCCCAACGGGGATCAGTATGATGGGAACTACCGGAAGGGTCGCCGTCATGGAATCGGGCTGTACGTGTTTAAGGACGGATCCCGGTACTACGGACAGTACCGCTGTGGCAAACGCTGCGGGCGTGGCATTTTCATCTATCCGGACGGATCCGTGTACGAGGGCAACTGGCGCAAGCACGTGAAGCACGGCAAGGGACGGTACAACTACGTGAATGGAGACACCTATTCAGGCGACTGGTTTAAGGGACAACGGCACGGGGTGGGAATCTATCGGTTTAATAGCGGCACCGATGGGTGCTGCCTATCCGTTAGATTGAAGTCGACCTGGAACAGTAATTTGCGGACGGGTCCCTTCGAGCTGTACATCGGGAACGAAGACAAGTGCACAATTCTCCACGGAACTTGGGACTCATTATACCCCAGTGGACCAGCTGTGTTCAGCTTTAACAACCGGTACCTGCTGCTGGGCTACTTCCTGCCCGCCAATTACAACTTCGGGGCTATTGGCAACGATGACGATGTGGAGGACATTGAGGAGCCGATGGATGACGAGCAGGGCTTCGATGAGCCAATGGCGCCCACCCTTTGGTTTGCCCAGGAAATTGCCGTTTACGACTTCTCTCTCTTGCCTCAGGAGCCGGTTCCCCTGGCCATTTCTGACTCGGAGCTGTCCATCTGCTCGCTGTCCACTGTGCCGAGCCTTCGCAGTGAGGAGAAGATCAGTTGGTACGGAGAGGGTGAGGAGGCCGAGGGCGAGGAGGGCGGCGAAATGGAGTGCTTTCCCTGCGAATGCGATCTTACCGATCTCAGTGAGGTGGAGACGGAAAGCGAGGTGTGCAAGATCGACGCTAATCCGTGTGCTATTGAGATCCTCAAGCAGCCCGAGTGCCCTGATCCCTAGAAATTTGGCTGCATATCAGGATTATTTCGTTATCTTTGTTTTTGGTTTACGAATGTATTGAAAAGTCATAAATCAGATTTTAGATCGGAACCCCTAGCATGTTTTAATCATAGGTTTCACTCAAGGTTGCTTAATGAAAATCTAATGATAACCTGGTTCGGAACTATTATATGCCGCTTTTTACATTTTTGTTCAGCTAGAAAGGGCTAATTTGCTTGTTGCTTTATAGTAAACATTTTATTTTAAAGATAATTTTTTGTTTCATACATTATGATTAAAATTTGTCGGTTTCATTTTAAAATACTTCTTGCTCTTTACAGTTTTGATACTTTACACTCGTAATGTAATGAAATCACAAATAGGAGACTCTTTTCAAGTATTATTGACATGATACCTAAGCGATAGATTCAAGGTGTGATTTGACCTCAATTTTAATTTTCTTTAAGCTTGGTTGTTGATTTCTGTATAATCGCACAACTTGCTCATGTTCAGCACTTCAATTTATATGTTTTTCTAATTAACTCTAAGTGTAATTATTGTTGTCTGCCTTACTTATGTATATCGTATTCATTAACATCAACTTTATTTGCAGATCCGTTTGATTTTTCAACGTCTTTACAATTTATATTTTCGTTAAATTTCAATGTAATTGCTAATTAAAAATTTAAAAAAAATCTCTAGGTACTGGCAGGGTCTGCCTTGTGGAGAGAAGATGATGGTGAGGCGTAGGCCAACTTGCTGCTGACCTGGCAGACATCACCGCAACTGGCGCTCGAGCTGTTAGACTCACAGCTACATTCCGATGGGGGAGTCTCACTAATCGTCACGTCGGTTGCCTGCTTTACTTCGCACAACGACGCCTTGCCGCATTCATCCAGAATGATATTTAGCTTTTCCGTCCTAGACTGCATCGCAGGACCTACGGCTGTTGTCGACGTTGTCTCCACGGTATTAAGGCGAACCATTTGGTAGGGGGCTTCACCCTCCTTCTGCAGCTCATGGAGTGTGCTACCGTCCAGCTGCTTGGAGATCTTGTAAATAGCCGGACAAGATTTCGAGTTCTTCACATCGTTGGAGTCCTTCGACTCGCACAGCTCCATTTGGTTACCGCAGGTATTCTTCAGGGGCTGCATCTCCTGCTCTTGGTTATTGTCCTCCACGCTTATGGATTGCGACAGAGCAACTGCTGCCGCCATAGCTGCCGCCTGACCACTGCTGCTTGCTCCTTCGGGATTTAAATAGAGCATCGGGGCATTGTAAAGCAGAAGCTGGGGTTCCATTTTGAAAGCGTGCTCCAACTGCTTTTGTTGGTCAAGATTTTCATCAATATAATTGATGTGAATGGGTGAGGTTTGCAAATTAAGTTGCGAACAATGCAGCAGGTCATCATCTGGTGGGGTATAATAAATCGACGCCTTGCTGGCTGAGTAATTGGTAGATAGGCGCGCTTTAATTTTTTGTATGTGCAGCTCCTTGGAGCCGGCAAAGTCCATTTGGCCTTTAAAATAGCAGTCTATGTCTGTAAAATAAGTTAATGTGTGTGATTATACATTTAAACTGACTTCTAGACGTTCAGTGTTATCTTACCCTCAGCAATGTCTTCCTCACAACGCCCGCGACAATTCTCGAAGTAGAAACTGGGCAAGTTTTCCAGCACCTTGTTCAGCGTTTGCTGTTGGTACTTATATCCTTCCCGGAGTCGCAGCACTTGATGCGCACTGAACTTCCTGATTTTGTTCCTCTGGAAGACGTAGTTTTCTCGCACCCAGCTCAACTGACCAGTCGAGTAGTCGCGCACCTTCTTCACTTGATCATAGTATTGGTCCTTCAGTGTAGTAAGGTGATTTGAACCTATATCGCGGAACTCGCGAATGTGCTTGGCCTGGCTGGTGTAACTGCTTTGAATCCACTCTACCTGCTGGGCGCAGTTTTCTCGGATGCGGTGCACTTGCTGTGCGTAGTTTTCGCGTAGTCTCTCCAGCTGCTGGCTCTTGTATGTCTCGATGCTGTCCAGCATGGCGTATATTTGGCGTGGACGCGGTGACTTTTTGTTCCGATTGGCGCAGCAGTAAAAGCGATCAAAGATTCCCCAGCGAGACAGGCAACTTCTTAGTCCCTGCACTATCAGAGTAAGCAGAAGGAATGCGGTGGCCAGGGCCGTACCAAACAGTATGCTGCCGATTTTCACCCGGTAGAACACAATGGGATCGATGTACAGTCTGCGAAAAATGCCATACGATTTAAGTTTATATTTTAGCAAAAAATCACTATCTTGTCCCACCGTAATCCTGCCGAGGCCTTGCCCATGACATTGAACGCATAGCAGGTGTACATGCCACTGTCAATTCTGGAAATATTGTGCACCAGCAGTGATCCGTTCTCAACCAGCACCACCCGTTGACCCACCAGACTCTGCTGTCGTGTCAAGTTCAACGTCTGGGTGTAACTTTCGTCCATCAGAGCAGCCAATTCCTGGGCGCTTGGTGGCTGGTGTGCATCCTCCTTGCTATCTATGATAATTGGCCGCTTGTCAGGATCAGCATGGTGGCGCAAAATCTTATTGCGAGGAGTAACCTATTAATTGTCAAGTGATTAACTCTCTATTTACCAATAAAAAGCAAAGGCCTAAAAAAAAGTGCAACGAACCATCCATAAGAGAAGTGCAATGCTTGGTTATACTCACCCAGATGATGTCCGGCACTGGGCTGCCAGAAATCTGACACTCTAGCTTGGCGGTGGAGAGGAGTTTGTGCATCTTGGGCTCGGAAAACTGCACCACTGAGGGCACCGAGCAGTTGAGATTGCTTAGCACGCGGAGCATGTCGCCGGGATAGCCATACTGACACTTAAGCGCATCGATTTGCTCGTCAATACTCTCGTACGATTCCAGCGGAGTTTGGCTGGGATTGGCATTACTCGCCTGAGCCTGTGGGGGGAGGTGTCGGAGGCTGGTGCTGGTATTAGCTAGCCAAGCGGTCAGCCAATACATGCTGCAGTCGCACTGGTACTCGTTGCCCAACATGTTGAGGTAGTGCAGCTGTCTGAGCTCCTTGATACTTTCGGGCAGAGACCCCAATCTATTTCCGCGGATACTGAGTCGCTGCAATCGAGTCAACCCCGAGATCTGTGTGGGCAGCTGCAGCAGTCCATTCTCAGCCAGCAGTAACTCCCTTATATTGGGGGCATTGGCGAACAGAGTAGCGGGCAACTGAGTTAGTTTCGCATTCTGCTGCAAGGAGACGTATCGCAGGCGATGAAGCACCTGCGGATCTACAAACAACTCATCATAACGTGATATCCAGTTGGAGAACTGCTCAATGGGCGTCTCATCGATGCGTAGCAGAACCAGGGAGCGCTGTCTCAGAAAGAGCCCGTTGGGAAGCTGCTTGAACTGGTTACGACTGAGATCCAACTGCCTGAGGGCATGCAGCGGCTGGAAGATGATGGATGACAGCAGGGTCAGGTTGTTGCCGGACACGTTAAGAGCGAGTAACTGGTCCAGAGACTCAAACGCCTTGCGATCGATGGTGGTCAGTGAATTCTGGCTCAGGTCTAGCTGCCGCAGTTCACGCAGATTATGCAGACTGTGCTTGCCGATTGACTTGAGCTGATTTCGCTGCAAATGCAGCTGACGGAGCTGAACGTTGCGGGCAAAAAAGTTGTCTGGAAAGGAGAGTAGGAGGTTGTCGCTTAGGTCCAAAACTTGGAGGTCGGCTGCTGTCTGGAAGAGCTGAAACGGCAGAACGCTCAGCCGATTTCCGGAGAGATAAAGCTGCTCCAGTTTCACGGCTCCTCCAAATATATCCCGGGGAAGCTCCGTCAGAGAATTCTGGCTGAGATTTAGCAGGCGCAGTTCGTTAAGCGTGCTCAGGAAGCGCGGTAGGATGGTCAGTCCATTTCTGTCCAAGTGCAGCTCCTGCAGGTGCTTCATGTCCTGCAGTGTCATTAGGTTGCAATTTGCCAACCGATTACCGCTAATTTTAAGTACTTTCAGGCCTCGCATCGCCTGGGGAATGGCCCAACGAAAGCACTCCAAGCGATTCTCAGCTAAATTCAGTCGTTCCATGTTCTCGTAGCAGTGCGGCTGTCGGGTAAAAAGCTCTATGAGCGATTCATCTCTTAGACCACTTTCCAGCCAAGAGAATTCCCTAACGCTTTCGTTCTGCGGGAGGTGCAGTGGATTAAATAGCTCCACAGGCACATGTACTAGTATCAGTTGGTGATAGTTGATGTGCGCACTCCGCTGGGAGATCAGTTCTTGATTAACTTGACTTAGGCGCACATGGTCGCAGCTGAGCTTGAACAAATTGGACGAGGGATCCACTTGACCACCCAGTTGAATTTCGTGATCCTCCACCTCAACGTTCTCCGATCCGGCGTCCTGCGCGTCCAGCCACAGACCCTCATCACTGTCACTATCATCTAAATCCGAATCCACCGCATGCCCCACGAACGGCAGGTGGAACTTGTAGCCCAGCAGCGAGAACTCGTGCTCCTGCCAAGTCCTCGTCCTGGGCCTGATCTGGTGACGATGGTGCTGCGGAGTTTGGGCCAGAGGCGCTTCGGCGCTACTGTATGTGGCCTGGCAGTTGGTACTGTCGCCACTGATGGCCACCGCTGTGTTGAACACGACTATCAAGGCACACAATATCAGGGGAATCTTCGATATTGCCTCCATTTTTCAGTATGTAATCTCAAATGTTTATATGGTCGCATAGTACACCTGCAAGATTGGTAGGTTAAAGTCATATTCACTGATTGTTTCAATATTATGTAAAATATTTATATGGACGCATTGTACACCTGCAAGATTGATACGTTGAAGTTATATTCATTGATTATTTATGTGAATACTTTTATGATATCTAATCAGATAAGTGTTTAGAATTAATTGTATTTACGATTACCCACAAAGCTAAGCTCATCGTTAAATTATGGTAAAAACTATAATGCCCCCTCAATGGCATTATAACTCAATCAGCCCACTTTACGTTTTTAACCATATATAATTTTATCTTCGGGTGCTGTCGCAACTCTTAACTCATTAGAAGAACGACAAACGAGCCAGAACAATGGTTAAAATCAATAAGTTAGGTAAATATTATAAATAACTCGGTGGCTGCCGGAGGAAGAGCTCGCCAAGTCCAGTTGCGTGTCCAAATGACGACGCACAACTCAGAGACAGAAAATGTGTGGAGCTACACGGTAAATAATTCATGGCGTATCTTTTGAATAATGCATTTAAATAGTGTCTGTCTCCCGTGGTTGTGCTGGATTTCATTCTTCTCCGTCTCCAGTTTTCTGTTTGCACGGAAAGGTTTTTAAATTTATCGGTATGGGAAAGACAACTACCATATTTTTGAGGAGTAAAGCGAGAATTGTGAAAAGAACTTCAATAAAATAATAATTTACATATAACAAATTTACATATGAAAAATTAACAAAATAAAAATTTTTTATTGATTTAATTATTGATCTTAAAAATTTTCTTAGTTATATTGCAACGTAAGTCAGCGAAAATAAAATGATTGACTAAAACTGGACTAGAGCAATGCAGCTTTTTAGATTGACGCATAAAACCTGAGTTATTTATTTCAGAGTGCTTGGGATAGGATTTACCATATATATTTAAATTATCTTCTCTGCGGCCCCCTTAATCTTATTTATAAACTGAAATATCGAATGAATCGCCGGCCAGCAACCGCAACCTACATCAACAAAGCAATTACGTTCAGTTCAATTCCCAAGATTATTACTCAATGGGCCAGTTTAAAGACGACGAAACTAACAGAAAAATTATTGTTTATCGTCTCTACGTCGAGAGTGACTGACCCGATGCCACGTCTAATATAGAAGGCGTAAAGCTTTTCCATTTATTTACATGCATAGATAATTGGCCAGCTGTTAATGGAAAGCAGATAAGAGCCAGCGAACCTATATAATGGATTCGTGCTTATTGATAAGCCGGAGGGTTGCAAAATGTTATCAAGATGAATGGTCGTAGGGGCTTCAAATTAAAATCGCAGTTCGCAAAGAGTTTATTTCAGAGACAACATTGTTATTGATAGCAAATATTGAACCCACAATCTTCGATTATTCAAGTAGTGTTTGTGCAAATTTCACAGTTTTACACATTGATACATCTGGCCAAAACTGCTTGGCCAAACAAAAAATAACGAAAAACCGATACAAAAATAGCTTAACACGGACAGTCAAAGGCCCACACACAAGCAAATACTGCGAAAAAAAAAACTGCCACGAATCTAAGACAATAATTAAATTAGTTCGAGAAAGTAGTAACCAAATGGAGTGTTACCAAAACATAAAGCTGTTCAGTCACAAATCAGCTGATATCGGAATTAAGGAAATTATTTGGGTAACAAAAGCGCGCAACCTTTAATGGGCAAACAATTAAACTAAATGCCGTTTTTATTGGGACAAAGAATGGGAGACGCCCGATAGAGCGATGGATTGGGTTGCATAATAAGACATAGAATCCAAGCTTAAAACAGGGAAAATGAACCGTTGTACTTGGGATTTAATGTACATACATACATAATGTACACCTAGGCAAACACATACACATGTAGCACCTGCTGACGTCTGAAAAGCCGCTAATGACGGCGGGCATAAAAATACTAATTGGAAGAGATTTTTTTCTTTTGAACCGCAGAAGCATTTAAGAAATGTAGCTCTCCCACACTTATAATTTATTCAACACTGTTCGTCTTCTTTACCTTAGATCTCAGGTGTGTTTTAAATGTGCAAGATGCAGTAAGGAGGTTGCCAGGGCAACGTAGGTGGCTCTGATTTGGGATTACCGAGGATATTACGTAGGCGAGCTGGGCAGCCAAACTGAAACCGAACGGCAATTATAGCCACCGACACTTCTGGTTTCATTTTTTTAACCTTTGTGGCCAAGCAGCCGTTTATGCTACGCACACTCATGCACCTGTCCTACAGATGGCCTATAACTGGCGTAAGCCGATGTTGTTTTGCCCGCGACTCATATCCAAACAACCAATTCACATAAAATATGATATTTTGCAATGCTTTGGAATATTATCTCACCGTTGTTTATATTCTCTGCATCTTTTCGCGTCTTTTTTCGTCTAGGTTCCAGTGCGACCGTAACTGGGCCTCAGAAACACACCAAGCTAATGTTAGTAAAATGTACTAAAAAATACCACGTATTCTTTTAAAAAAGCATGAAATATACCAAAAGTCGACTACTGAGCACTGCCTCAGGACTGTCCACTTTTTAGAAAAGCATAACTTATGGAATATTTTTATTTGTTTGTTTATGAAAAATTAGTATTTCAGAGAATCGAGCAACGAGAATTTGAAATGTGATTAACATTTATATTTACCTATACAATTTTTCTTTACAATTATATTTTAATAAAAATTATCTTTTTTTTACAACTCCATTTTTAAATGTTTTAAATTGTTTTTTAGATTTAAATTTATTTACCATAACTTTAAAACTTTTTCATTACTTTTACTCAAAAGTAACATTAGATTGCAATATTAAATCGACAACAGTTTACTCAAACGAAGGTTGGTTTTTTGGTGGTTTATTTTGTTGTCCTTTTTGTAAACCCTTTAAAGAATATTATAATTTCAGTTAAAAGTTTGCAACGTCATAGAGTAAGAAAATATGAATACTTATTGCTGCACTGGTCGCTCTTATTCCTAAGGATTGGTGCAGAACTCCCCATACTATTGCTTGTGCCTCGCACATGTTGGGGGTGGTGAGAAACCGAAGTTAGCTTCGAACATGGATCTGAGCAGAGCATTGGCAGAGGTGCGGGCAGAGCAAATGAAACCTCTATATAGATTCTTACTCTATGAACTGAAACCACTTTTTATAATTTTAAAAGTTTTACTTATTTAAAATTGGCATTTTTCAACAAACCTTTGCAAAGAATAATTTTGTAACGCACTGTATTTCTAAACGCGGCCCTACTCTCCTCTTTTAACGTCCTGAAACCCCACACCATTATGCTGCGGACAATTCTAAATCTGTATCACAGTGTAATTTTGGTAATAAATTCTTAAATCGTTCGTGAAGCTACATACATAGCCTAACAAACCGAGGGGCGCAGCCGTGTGTTGTACGGCACGGTTCGAAGGTAAAAGTCCGGGGAAAAAAGTAAGATCAATTCTGTGCTAATAAATTAAGTATTAATTGGTAAGATAAGTCGTATTTGTGAGATTGACACGATAAGTAGGGATTAACTTGCACTTCGAGCCGGTTAAATTAACTAAATTATCCTGGCAACAGTTCTGAAAGTTATCTACATTGGATGTAAGTCTAAATGCCAGGAAATATCCTTATACTGCAGGCATAAGAAGATCAAAATCGAAGATATAATTGATCTACAAAGTTGTTGAAAAATGAGAAGTAAACATTTTTCCTAAAAGCTTAGGGATAGCTGACAACTTAGATATTCCTCAATAGTTACTAGCCTCTAACTTGTTACTTTACTTGTGCAGAGGAATTATAAATGATTCCTTCCAAACAAGGGGAAATTGGAAAGTTTCTAAAGATAAGTTTCTAAAATTAAGAACCGGTATTTTTATATTTCTTATAAAGTCTGGACTTTTCGAAAATCGAAACCTTGTATTATTGGTGTCGGGGAGACCCCGGTTTTAGCAAATTTGTCATATTGAGTGTCAATCTCTATTGTAAAATCATTTCGTGTACATACGACACTCACTTTTTATCAAGTAGAAACCAAGAAATAAATTCTAGGTGTATTATCACTTTAAGCCACAATAATTAAATTGACACTCAGAGATTTTGGCAAGACTAGCACAGGTGGGATAAGAGAAGTTTTTCTTTTGATACGATTACTGAAACACAATGTTAATAGTAAATCATCAAATTAGTATAAAAGACAAAAATATACAGCTGACTAATATGAATTTGGTGCTTTTAATAATGAAAAAATTTATTTTAGATTTAATGGATTGACCTAGGGCCTAACTTTATAGTTAGATACAAAATAAAGCTCTCAGTTGACCAAGAGAAAATTCTATTACTCAAAATAATTTCGGCCTCCGCGCTGTGTAGCTTTAAACACAATCCAAGCCCAAAAAGTTAATGGCACTTTGAGCCGCTTCCTGCAAGCCAACAGCTGAGACCAACGAGTACAAATCCATAGCCAGAATTACACTTGCACCTGACTCAGTAACAAACCGAGCCCCCACTTTGCAAGAGAATTAAATTAAAACAAGAAAGGAAGCAAACTTCGCTGCAAGCCGAAGCTTATATACCCTTTCAGTTAATACAAATCGGCTACATTTCGATTTCTATGCCAACACAAAATTTAGTTCTTAAGCTGGAGTAAAAAAATACTCGAGTATATTGGTATCGTGGCATCGTAGAATCTTAGGCATTTGACCGTTTATTACTTGTTTTTGTTTTTATATAATAGTGAATAATAGTAAAATATGTATCACTCTAAGATATTTGCTAATTATACCCGTTACTCGTAGAGTAAAAGGGTATATTGTATTCGTGCAAAAGTATGTAACAGCTAGAAGGAAGCGTTTCCGACCCTATAAAGTATATATATTCTTGATCAGGATCACTAGCCGAGTCGATCTAGCCATGTCCGTCTGTCCGTCTGTCTGTCTGTCTGTCTGTCCGTATGAACGCTGAGATCTCGGAAACTATAAAAGCTAGAAGATTGGCATTTTGCATGTAGATTTTAGAAGTTCCTACGCAGCGCAAGTTTGTTTCAAAATGGTGCCACGCCCCCTTTAACGCCCACAATCGCTGATATACGACTTTAAAAATTTAAATATTTCGGAAAAGTAAAAATGCAGTTTTATTGTGTTTATCAACACCTATCGAAATGTAGAAGAAATTTTTCAAATCGGACCATTCGTTAAAAAGTTATGCGTGATCAAAGTTTCTATCTCCATCTCCCTCGCACTGCCTTTACCTGAGTAACGGGTATCTGATAGTCGGGGCACCCGACTATAGCGTTCTCTCTTGTTTTTATTATTAAAAGCCCTACAAGAGTTCTTTAATGAAATAAGTACAACAACTTACTATCCTAACACTGGCCTTAATAATGTAATATAATGTATTATATTATATAATGTATATATTATATATTTACCCTTGCAGCTGATACAAAAATTAAATATTCTAAAATTTCGATTTAGATGCTTCAATGAAGCAGGACGAACGTTCTTATGTCAGGAGAATGATATATTTGTATACAATTTTTTTTTGGGATATATATAAAAAATTACCTTTTAAAAAAACTTTTTGACTAAAAATTATTTTGTTTTCGTATAAGCAAAGACTACATTTAATACAAATTTCTGATTCGGTACGCATTATTAGACATTTTATAGTCATATAGTCATGACTTTCTTACCTTGATTTAATTAAAAACCTTAATTGGTTATTTCGATCACGTTGCACTGTCCCACCCAGAGGAAATAGTGAATTTTGTTTCATTTTGATTTATTTATTCTGCAGCAATTTCTTAAGATTAAGAATTGAATGGTTTTTATTCATAACCCTAACTTACAAACTATACGACTAAATGTAAATTCCTTTTTTTGGCGCTGAATTCGGCCACAGCCTAAATCTGTCCAAATTATTCTCTTTATTAGACTTTAGCTGTACCAGAAAATCAAAAACTTTTTATATCGTAAGCAAATGTAATTTATCTTATTTAAAAAGCTGACATAATGTGGTTTATTTTATTAGTTCTTTTTATTTAACATGATTGTGCTCAACGATTCTTAAATTGATTCGTTGCAAGAGAAACGTTTCAATTAATTAATATCTTTTATTGGATAAGATGAATGGTATTAAACTTATGTATTTTAATACTAATTATACAAAAATCACCAATTATAACACAAGTTTGATTTCCATGATTAAGAAAATAAGCCTTAAAAGCTTTATTTATTTATTCTAAAGTATAAATTAAGTTTTTAGCCTTTTGCTTTTTTGACCATAATTGGTCAATTTTTATAGTAATAGAGCCGTTTTCAACATTCCCGTTAAAGTCATATGGATTCGTTCAATAGTACAGATGTTAGGGCCTGTCCAAAAGAAAATGGTGATATAATTCAAAGCCACCTTGCCTAATACACGCCTAAAAACCAAAACATATTTTTTTTATTCTACTCGAAACACAAATAACTAATAAGATGAGATCTTTACTTTTAGAGCATGGGAAAACGTAGATTTTTTGGTGTTAAAGAGGACAACAGGGGTTAGTTAAAAAAGAACCTTTTTCCCCAACAGGAAAAATCCGTATAAAAATGAATAGATGGTGTCTTCTTTAGTTTCACCTTCGAAAAGAAGCATTCAAATTTGATTCGTGTTATATGTGTGTATTTTATGTATATTTTTAGGTGCAATTTAAAGTTGTTATTCTTCATTTTTAATAACTTTTTAAATTTGTGGAGGCTTTTGCATCTATATCAAAAAACGACCCACAATAACTAGTTCAGAAAATTATGAAATTTATTCTTAGTAAAATAAGAGAAGCACTTTAAGAAAATGGTACCTGCAAAAACATGAAAAAATTTCTTGATAGAAAAATCAAAAATTAATAAATTAAAAAAAAAACAAGAAAGCAAGCATTTTTTTTCAAACGAAATTTGCTGATAGTTAAGTAACAATTTGTCTTTGTATATTTCACAAATGTCAGGGCAGATTACTTTATGGCACTATAAATCTATGAATTTTTGTTTTTCATTTGGATTTAAAACAATTTTACAGCTTAGTACTAAAACTGATACATTTCTTGTCTAATTTGGTAATCGGTAGACTAAGTTGGTACAATGACATATTTTCTTTATTACAGCGAAACCTTTTTTAAGCATTTGATAGTGTGTAAAATAATATATATTTAACAAAATGGGTTTTTTATAGCCTAGATTTGAAAATGAATGTCTGAGTTTAGCCTAAGATTGTAACTCGAAAGAGATTCGACTTGCAGTAATATAAAGCATTTTGCATAATTGTGTTCTTTTTTCTTTGTTTGAACAGTTATTGTCAAAATGATATGCAGACTTTTAAATATTTAGTTGCTTATAGTTAATTCGCAATATATCGTCAAAATTTAATTTTGAGTTGAGATAGAGTGTCTTTTTAGGGAATAATGCAGCAGCGGCAGGTGGACATTACATATATGTATAAATATAGATTCATTTTGTGGTATTTTATTAAATATGTTAAACAAAATTATTTAATATATAGCGTTCAGGTTGAGGAGCGATAGGTACACACATATGTCAACGTTCTCATTTTTTTCGATTCAATTTTACTTCTACGAATATTATTTACATAAAAACTTTTTATGTACGACTATTATTTGAGGAATTTAATAAGCTTTTAATTGATTGTGGTTTTAGAACTAGACTACTTTTTACCGATACCTGTGTTCTACCGAAATAAATTCTATAACTCTGATATGATGAAGATGAAAAAAAATATATCAATTTTAAAAGCTTACAAAACTAAAACGACAATTTACTCTAGAAATGAAAGCTTTCGTTTTCGGTGACTTTTGATATAATAATATATTAATATATTTCTTCATCTCGATTTATGATAAACCAATAATATTCAGCAAACTAGTTATTTGGATTACAATTTTCTACGACTTTCTCTAACACGTTATAAAGTTTTCATCTCTGGACTAAATCATCGATTTATTTTTGTAAACTATTGTAATCAAATTCAGGGCTTGGCATAAAAATGTATTCCTTTTGGTATACAACATTGGGTTTACTGGGTTATTAATATTAGTTTACATGCATTGTTTTTAATTTACAAAAACCGTATGTAACTATTGAAATATTTATTAATTAATTATGATGTGCTAAAATCAAGTTTAATTTGAGTTTTTACAGATCGAATTTTTCAATACATATGTGTCTGAGTGTGTGGCTTAAATCCTAAGTTCTTGCGCTGCAGATACAAATGTATCTCCCGGAAACTGGGTCGACTTGACTCATCGCGCTGCCAGCACTCGCACATGAGATCAAACATTTCCAGCGGACAGTTAATAGGCAGGGGCAAAAGTTCCTGAAACAAGACGTTAAGATACAACATAATTTCTTAATGAAATATCTTGATTGGTTTCATCTCCACTCACATGCATTTTATAGTTCCGGTACATGTGCCCAATGTTTTCAATAACATTTTTGTTGCTCATATGTTCGTATGGCTGTTCTTTGGCGAAAGTCAATATTTCCCAAAGGACTACGGCAAATGACCACACATCCGATTTCGTTGTAAACTTTCCCTGAAAATAAATTTCCAAATCAGGGATGTCGATTATAAAAATAGAAAAGCGATATTGCCGCAGAATTTATCGTTTCGAAAATAACACTTATTATATAATATTAAGCAGCTATCCTGTTTAAATAGGATTCATGGAAAGAACAATATTCGATTTTTGTGGGGTATATACAACATATTTTTGTGGATAATACTTTATTATTTAGTATTCCTCTTGTCGATTGTAAAATGGCTAAAAAAATCTGCAAGTGCAAGTGAAAAGGTACAATCTGCCCCTAAGAGCAATCTTTATATTTTCGTTTTGGTCATAAATAAATAAATATCTTGGCTGTCTTAATTGTGAGCACACAGCATACAACTGGCTTTTTGCCGATTGTAAAATGGCAAAAAATAACTTGGCAAAGGTGTATCACTATCGCACACTGGTCCTAATGCCCAAAATCCATTTTTTTAAAGTAATTTTTGAAATGTTGAAACCATGCGAATTTATGAATGTCAATTTTGATAAGATAAAATAAACAATAATTTACATTTGGGAGAAAAGCTCGAATGGCCTGGCCATCAAAATTGTTGCGCTGGTCGGAGACAGAAATTTTCATGTTGTTCCGTCACCAAAGGGAATATTTACGATACCAAACTTCAGACCAAATCCGAAGAACATTTTCGAGCTGTGTCCAAATACCTGGAGAAAGCTAAGAAAAACTACTACACATGCCAACTAAAAAGCAGCAAGGGCTTGAAAGTTGTACTAAAAGGAATCGAGCCCAACGTAACCCCCAATGAAGTTATCGATGCCTTCAAAGAAATCGCTTTTTCTGGAAAGAACGTTAGTTACATCATTAACAGGAACAAAAAGCCGCAACCACTCTTCAAGGTAGAGTTGGAGCCAGACTGTCGAGTCTTGAAGAAAAATGAAGTGAATCCCATTTATAACCTGCAATACCTAGTGCCACATAAAAAGAGCGCCCCAGTGCAATGTACAAACTGTAAGGAGTATCGACACACCAGGACATACTGCACACTTCGATCAGTCTGTATATTTTTCGGGACGGCTGCAAGATTCTTTTTTTGTAAGGAACGGAAAACTCACTCCAGTCGAATCTAGGAAACGTTCTGTAGGTCCAAGGACCCATGCAAAGCACACTGGAAGCTTTGATGGTTACTTAGGCAACAAAGTATGAAAACGACCATCCAAAAACTGCAGCGCACTGGTTTAAAATCAAAACATGGTGTTACAGTTGCTTGCAGCTAAGCAGTCCAAATAATTGATGGCAAATCTACGAATAACAATGTGGAACGCCAAGTGTATACTTGCTTTCTTGTTAATTATATCTTCATTGTTTTAAGATATATTAATATGCTTTCCACAGTGTTGTAATGTTTAGTTTAATTTCTGTAAGCAACTTCAACTACCAATTCGAACTTGTAATCTTACCAAAAAAACACTTTCCCAAGACATCCATCGAATGGGCATAGGCTGAGTCTGTCTTCCGGAGGAGTTTTCGAGTTGGCAATAGTCCGATGCATAGGCCGTCCGATTTATCACACTTCCGATGGAGCAAACTTTGACGCTTAGTTCTGGCCCAATTATACAGCTCCTGAAAAAAGAATCGGAAGATAAAGTTTAAGCCGATGTAGAAACTAAGACCAGATACGTGCTAAGAAGCACAGATATTCTGGTATTTAGTAGAAACTAATAATACAACATATTTTTGTCCATTTTATAGACAATATAATAAGCAAAATCAGGTTTTACCAACCGCACCTTAATAAAAAAATTTTATGATATTACATTCATAGATTTTAGTGCGCAAATTTTATTCAATTTAAGTAAACTAGCCTCGTTAAGCTATGAACATTTTTTTGAAGATTTTCTTCCCTTTTTTTGTCGAAAAAAATCGAATGTAATTTATGTAATTATAGTCCATTCCGTGGATAATTTAATTACGAGTATTTAAAAAAAAACATTAAGATTCGTCAAAAATGGACTGAGAAAACGCATTTATAGTAGTACCTGCTTTGAGTCGGTCGGCTCGGAGGCTCATAACATTTAAACTATTTCGTATTTCGATTTGCCCTTTTAGTATGATATCCTAGACACTTGTAGCTTTTGGAAATATACCAAAAAAAATGTTGATTTTTTTCAGAAAACTAACCAGAATGGACCCTTAAATACTTATGTATATATTTCTAAAAGAAACCTTTTCTTCCTCGCTTTCCCATCAAGACAGTTTCTATTTTTAACTCACATAGGATAACGAAATTCCGTTACCCGATCTGTGCGTATACAGGTCCGGGTATATAAAAAGTACAGCTCTTTTTTGTTGACCGAAATGTGGGATACAGAACAAAAACACTGCACACCTTGGCGAAACCCATTGCATGCGCAAATCCCTTTTAAAAACAAATAAAATAGGTCGAATGCATTAGTTGTAGCTACTCAAGGGATTTTTTCCAATGAATTGCAATAAAAATAAATGATGTAAGAACTATTTCATAAACATTTTAAATAGTTTTTGAAGTTTTTCTAATTTGTTGTATATAATCATTAATAAATTAATCCGGAAATCAAACGCCGAATTTGTCATTAAAATATTTATGTAGATATTTATGTGTAATATTCTAATGTTTATTAAGGAATATTTGTTCATCTATTTGTTTCACTACTGTTCACATGCAATAGAGAGATTTAATTGGTTTGAAATCTTTAAACAACAAGAAAGAAAGCAAACTTTGGCAAGACGAAGTTTATATACCCTTGCAGTTATTACAAATCGACCACATTTTGATTTCTATGCTTATTTTACTAACAACAATGAAGCTATGTCTATTTGGCGCTGCATTTTGCCATCGTTTATATGGCAGCTATGTGATATTGATGTTCGATTTTAATTGAATTAAAACCGTAGTTCCATAGAATTAAAATATTACCAAGTCCCAAAGAAGAACACCAAAAAAATAAAAATAACAAAGTTCTATTTTTTTTGAATTTTATTTCCGGTTGTTCCTATGGGGCTATATGTTATAGAAAGACAACTTTTGGGAAAGTTTCAATCAGATAGCTTTAAAACTGAGGGACTAGTTTGCGTAGAAACGGACAGACGGACGGACAGACGGACAGACTGACATGGCTAGATCGCCTCTCCTGGTGATGCTGATTAAGAATTTATATACTTTATGTCTTCTTTATTGCATTGCAAACTTTTTACTAAATTATAATACCCTCTGCAAGGGTATAATGAATTGGTTAGTGTTTATTTATTTTTGCACTGTTTGTATCTTTAGAATATACGCGTGCCGTTTTTAAAAACAGGCATGGGCCTCCGGCTATGTAAATATTTTATTTTTGTAACTAAACATTTACATAAGGCATTTGTTTGAATAATATACATATTTGGAAAACCTTATAAAAGAGATCGGCGAACATATTCCAAATCAGTTCAAAGGCAAAGTTGGTCTTTCGCAGTTCAAAGCTCTAAAAACTCTGGCGAAATGTTTAAATTCGAAATATATTTAGTGTACGCTTTTGTCGGTTGCAATCTGTACAGCATAGTTAAATCCCAGGAAAATGTGGATTCAGTTTGTATCCTGAAGGATGCCCCGAGTCAATGTGGGGCATTCTGTCTTTCCGCTCAACGGCCATTCATCGATCACAATTACAAGGTTCAGAGGCAGATGGATTCCATTTCTGAAATTTTAAATGAAAACCAGAAGAGGGTGGACCGAATGGAAAAAGCTATACTGGACAAGATGGGCATAATCGAAAATGGAACACTGGTTACTCAGGCAAATATAGAAAGGATTCAAAGAGAAAATCAGGCCAATATGGACAGAATCGAAAAAAAAACTCTGGAGACTCAGCCATCTTTGGAGAGGATTCAAAGAGAAAATCAGGACACGACGGACAGAATTTTCCAACTGGTCAAGAGCATCTCGATGGGTCTCATGTGTGTCGAATCTCGATGTTTTTATATAGAAAATAATTTTAAACAAACCTGGATTAACGCTGAGGACACCTGTCGTAAAATGGGAGGTCACCTAGCAGCTTTCCAAAATCAAAAGGAATTTAACGCCGTCACAGCGAAACTCCATTATGGTATTAAGTATTGGTTGGGCATCAACGATCGGGAAAAGGAAGGCGAGTTTGTAACTGCCTCCGGCAATCCACCAAAATACTTGACTTGGGCTGTGGGTCAACCCGACAACTACGATGACAATGAGAACTGTGTCCACATCTGGGACAAAATGATGAACGATCTTCCGTGCGAATTCGATCAATATTATATTTGCCAGTTGGACGAAGTATAAATAGAAGTACAAACAATTAAGTGTCAAAATTGCTGAGTACTCAACTTACTGGTCAAAAATGTTCATATTTTGAAGATTTTATATTTATAAACTTAAAAAATATATTTAATGTGCATACAAATTGGAAGTTTTATAACTCCCTGCAAGTTTTTTTCGCTTTTCTTTCCCAAAAGGTTTGAAAAAGTCTGGAGTGAATTAAGACCATTAAGAACAATTAATCTTTTGGCATTGCATAAGAAAAAATCCTTTATTTTGGTTCCCTGGCCCTGGTAAGAGTGACGATATCCTTCACACTCGGCCTATGCAACATATTTTTAACAAGAAAAAATTGTTCATCTTTGGACGCGATCCATTTATGTAGCCAATTTTTGGCCTCTTCGTATGAAGAGCGGAAGTGCTGTTCAGGGAGGCCATGGGTCATTGATCGGGTTAAGTGGAAATCCGAAAGAGCGATGTCTGGAGAGTAGAGATGGTGGGGTAGACCGTCCCATTTCTGCGTTTCCCAGTAAGTTTTCACGACCTTGGCAATATGAGGCCGGGCGTTGTCCTGTAGGAGTATCACTTAATCGTGCCGAATCCACGTCTTCAAACTTTTTCACGGGACCTAGTCGATCATTGTCTTCCACGACAAACTCGCCATTTTTAAGCTTTGCAAACCATACTCGACACGTTCTTTCACTGATACACGACTCACCATAAGTTTGTTCAGCTGCCGTTTATTTCGAATTGAACGCGAAAAGTAAAATCTGCCACAAATGACGCTTATTCTCCATATTTCGACATTTTTTCGCATCAACAAAATGATAGACAATGAGAATACACGAACGAGACAATTTAGAGTTGTTGACCGATACTTTAGCTTGCCATGTGGCGTTGCCGATCAACATTTCTCACCGATTTGCGAAGATGGCACTACTCTGTCAAAAACGGCGGTTTTCTACTTGTACACCCAATATTTTTACCATTTTCAAATTTTGAACAATCAAATAAGTTATCTCTGCACTACCTGCAATAAAAATTCCTTTTTTTTGGAAAATTGTATCCAGATTGTATTAAAACTGAGAGAAAAGTTCGAGTGAAAACGGACAAAATGTCAAAAGTGCTGATCAGGAATATATATTCTTTACAGGTTCTGAAATATCTCCTTCGGCGCGTTTCAAAATTTCAAATGAAATAAGAATACCACCTGCAACTAGATAAAAAGCTTTGACTAATAAATGCGATATTGATTTGGTTTAAACCAGAGGGCACTCAACAGTTTTTTTACATGGATAAATCGTTATGGAAATTCCTAAGTCGTCCTCCATAGCTTAGTTTGGAAAGCCACCGCATTGTCTTATAAGGGAATCCATATTGCAGAGCAGAACAATAAGCAAGTCCAAACTTAACGACAACTAAATCCAATTATAAGAGATCCAAAGCGGCGCTAAAGGAGCTGACAGGATATGCAGGGCACTGCACATCGAACACGTGTGCGTAACGAACTCAATGTGATTCGGTGGTTGGGTGATTGTTTCCTAGGCTGAAATGGGTCCTTCGTGTTCGGATGGCAGTGCTCTTTTAAGGTTTACTTTTCATTTACGCGCAACTAGAAGGGGACATATTAATAACCTACACAAACGCATTGCACGTGGAGTTGCAGGGGCAACTACCCTTCACAGTATCTCCGAAAAACTGTAATTAAACTTAATCCGCTCAATTTAAAAGGCACACCCAGGCATCACTTCCCTGCTAAGTTTTATACTCAATTTTCTATATACTCAATTACTACTCAATATATATGATTATTATTGTTTGTTTTTTGTTTTTAGGGAGGGTAAATTGGAATTGGCGATAAATCGATTGAAATTTTCTCGTCCGGCTTTTAACCCCATTCAAACGTCATACATTTTTTCGGAAAGGTTACAACTTTATACAAGGAGTGTTTCCCTATGAGTCAAATAACTGTCAAAAAATAATACAAATTGTCAAACTTAAATTTATTTACTGTATATGGAAGTGGCTTTAGTAAAGCTGGTTCCAAAGGTCACCTGATTGACAAATAACAGTTAATAATACCCTCTGCAAGAGTATAAAAATATAATATTTGTTTAAACGGCAATGGATAAAAATCAAAGCCAAATATGTTTACGTTGTGTATGAATCACTAAAAAACTTTAAAAAAAACTTAAAACTTTATACCAATATCAAAATTATTATTGGACTCGATTTTGTGTTTCGGTGTACTATTCTTATATTTAATATTTTTCATTTTGTTTGATGTCATTTAAAGTATATATTATATTTTATA